GCCTTTGTTGTGTCCCACAGATTTTGAACCGTTGTGTTTTCATTATCATTTGTTTCCATGAATTTTTTCAATTCTTCTTTAATTTCCTGGTTGACCCATTCATTCTTTAGAAGGATGCTGTTTAGTCTCCATGTATTTGGGTTCTTTCCAAATTTCCTCTTGTGATTGAGTTCTAGCTTCAGAGCATTGTGGTCTGAAAATATGCAGGGAATGATCCCAATCTTTTGATACCGGTTGAGACCTGATTTAGGACCGAGGATGTGATCTATTCTGGAGAATGTTCCATGTACACTAGAGAAGAATGTGTATTCTGTTGCTTTGGGATGACATGTTCTGAATATATCTGTGATGTCCATCTGGTCCAGTGTATCATTTAAGGCCTTTATTTCCTTGTTGATCTTTTGCTTGGATGATCTGTCCATTTCAGTGAGAGGAGTGTTAAAGTCCCCTACTATTATTGTATTATTGTTGATGTGTTTCTTTGATTTTGTTATTAATTGGTTTATATAGTTGGCTGCTCCCACATTAGAGGCATAGATATTTAAAATTGTTAGATCTTCTTGTTGGACAGATCCTTTGAGTATGATATAGTGTCCTTCCTCATCTCTTATTATAGTGTTTGGCTTAAAATCTAATTGATCTGATATAAGGATTGCCACTCCTGCTTTCTTCTGATGTCCATTAGCATGGTAAATTGTTTTCCACCCCCTCACTTTAAATCTGGAGGTGTCTTCGGGTTTAAAATGAGTTTCTTGTAGGCAACATATAGATGGGTTTTGTTTTTTTATCCATTCTGATACCCTGTGTCTTTTGATTGGGGCATTTATTTAGCCCATTAACATTCAGGGTAACTATTGAGAGATATGAATTTAGTGCCATTGTATTGCCTGTAAGGTGACTGTTATTGTATATTGTCTCTGTTCCTTTCTGATCTACTACTTTTAGGGTCTCTCTTTGCTTAGAGGACCCCTTTCAATATTTCCTGTAGAGCTGGTTTGGTGTTTGCAAATTCTTTCAGTTTTTGTTTGTCCTGGAAGCTTTTAATCTCTCCTTCTATTTTCAATGATAGCTTAGATGGATATAGTATTCTTGGCTGCATGTTTTTCTCGTTTAGTGCTCTGAATATATCATGCCAGCTCTTTCTGGCCTGCCGGGTCTCTGTGGATAAGTCTGCTGCCAATCTAATATTTTTACCATTGTATGTTACAGACTTCTTTTCCCGGGCTGCTTTCAGGATTTTCTCTTTGTCACTAAGACTTGTAAGTTTTACTATTAGGTGACGGGGTGTGGACCTATTCTTATTGATTTTGAGAGGGGTTCTCTGCACCTCCTGGATTTTGATGCTTGTTCCCTTTGCCATATTGGGGAAATTCTCTCCAATAATTCTCTCCAATATACCTTCTGCTCCCCTCTCTCCTTCTTCTTCTTCTGGAATCCCAATTATTCTAATGTTGTTTCATCTTCTGGTGTCACTTATCTCTCGAATTCTCCCCTCGTGGTCCAGTAGCTGTTTGTCCCTCTTTTGCTCAGCTTCTTTATTCTCTGTCATTTGGTCTTCTATATCACTAATTCTTTCTTCTGCCTCATTTATCCTAGCAGTGAGAGCCTCCATTTTTGATTGCACCTCATTAATAGCTTTTTAAATTTCAACTTGGTTAGATTTTAGTTCTTTTATTTCTCCAGAAAGGGCTTTTATATCTCCCGAGAGGGTTTCTCTAATATTTTCCATGCCTTTTTCGAGCCCGGCTAGAACCTTGAGAATCCTCATTCTGAACTCAAGATCTGACGTATTACCAATGTCTGTATTGATTAGGTCCCTAGCCTTCGGTGCTGCCTCTTGTTCTTTTTTTTGTGGTGAATTTTTCCGCCTTGTCATTTTGTCCAGATAAGAGTATATGAAGGAGCAAGTAAAATACTAAAAGGTTGGCAACAACCCCAGGAAAATATGCTTTAGCCAAATCAGAAGAGATCCCAAATCGTGAGGGGGGAGAAAGGGATAAAAAGAGGTTCAGAAAGAAAAAAAAAAAAATTAAAAAAAGAAAACCAATAAAGAAAAAATATAAAAAGGAAAAAATATATATATATTAGATAAACTAGTTAAAAAAACGTTAAAAAAGAAAAGGGTAAAAGTTAAAAAAATTTAGCAGGAGAAGAGGAAAAAAAATTGAAAAAGAAAAAAAATTAAATTAACTGCACGGCTAAAGAATGGCTAAAGAATCATGGAGAGAAAGCCATGAGTTCCGTGCTTTGCTTTCTTCTCCTCTGGAATTCCGCTGCTCTCCTTGGTATTGAAACTGCACTCCTTGGTAGGTGAACTTGGTCCTGGCTGGGCTTCTTGTTGATCTTCTGGGGGAGGGGCCTGTTGTAGTGATTCTCAAGTGTCTTTGCCCCAGGCGGAGTTGCACCGCCCTTACCAGGGGCGGGGCTGAGTAATCCGCTTGGGTTTGCTTTCTGGAGCTTTTGTTCCCTGAGCGCTTTCCGTAGAGTTCCGGAGGGCAGGAATAAAAATGGCGGCCTCCCAGTCTCCGGCCTGGAGGAGCAGAGAGCCCAGGGCCCCACTCCTCAGTGCACCCTCAGAGAACAGGGCCCAGTTACTCCCGTCACCCTGGCCCCAGCCACGCTCCAAGCTGACCAAGCCTGTGACCGGTTCAAGGTAACCCCGAGTTTAGAGCTCACTCCTCGGCTCTGTCTCTGTAGCCGGCTTCCCCGTTCTAATACCTGTAAGCTCTGCGACACTCAGCCACCCCCGATCCTTCTGTGACCCTGCAGGACCTGAGGCCACGCTGACCCCGTGTGGACTTCACCCCGGTTAAGCCTCTGGAGCGATGACCCTCAGCGGAACAGACTTTTAAAAGTCCTGATTTTGTGCTCCGTTGCTCCGCCACTTGCCAGGAGCCGGCCCCTCCCCCCGCAGTCTATCTTCCCGTCGCTTTGGATTCACTTCTCCGCCAGTCCTACCTTTCAGAAAGTGGTTGATTTTCTGTTTCTAGAATTGCTGTTCTTCTTCTCTTTGATCTCCCGTTGGATTTGTAGGTGTTTGTAATCTTTAGATAAGCTATCTAGCTGATCTCCTGCTACCTGAAGTAGTCTCAGCCTGCTACTTCTCCGCCATCTTGACTCCTCCCCAAAACCTTTTTTAATTAGCCCCTCATTTCAAATTAGTCTAGCAGTGAAAACTATTCTTTTTTTTTTTTTTAAAGATTTTATTTATTCATTTAAGGGAGAGAGAACACAACCAGGGAGGAGGGGCAGAGGGAGAGGGAGAAGCGGGCTCCCCGCAGAGCAGGGAGCCCAATGTGGTGAACGTAGGCACCCAAAAACTATTCTTTAGTTACTGTGTTTTTCCCCAAAATGAAATACCTTTATTTCTGACCGTAAGTGATACATACCTTTGTAGAAAATCGAAAGAAAGATAAATGTATAAAGAAGTCTTACTACTCGGGAAAAAGTAGTGTCATTAAAGTGCTTTAAATGCATAAGCTTTTGTGTTCTGCTCAGTTTTCACATTTAAAATCTCACCTGTAGAGACACCTGGATGGCTCAGTTGGTTAATTTGCTGCCTTTGGCTCAGGTCATGATCCCAGGGTCCCTGGATCGAGTCCTGCATCCGGCTCCTTGCTCGGCCAGGAGCCTGCTTCTCTCTCTGCTTCTGCCTGACACTCTGCCTGCTTGTGTGCTCTCACTCTCTCTCTCTCTCTAAAAAATAAATAAGTAAATAAATAAAATCTTTCAAAAAATAAAAGTAAATAAATAAATAAATAAAATCTCACCTATAAATGAATCTTACTTTACAGACAGCATTAGAACATCTAGTTTAAGGAAGCTACTGCTTTTGTGTTCCATATTGCAAGTAGCTTCCTGTCTTAAATAATGAAATGTGCCTTCAGCCAGGACAGCCGTGAGCCCCAGTAAAGAAGTTGCAATCCAGTGTGTCATACTACTGTGTCATTCCCTTGTTTTATATATGACCATTCACTTACCAGTGTATGCCACATCATCTGCGCTTACAGGCCATTCTCTGCCAATGGAGCAGTTTCAGTTTGGAGAACTAAAGCTAACAATCTAGAAGAAAGAAATTATCACTGGTGGAAGCTAAGGATGCCTTTTTAAGGACAGATTTCTTGTTTATCCCCCATGTCTTTCTGCCACCCCATTTGACCACTGACATAATTGATGTGAAATTTGGAGTCGATCTTCCAGACTCTTTTCCACGCATACCTTCTTTCCTTCTCTTTTTGCATCAGATATCTCATTTCCATTCTCTGCCTCCACCTCTACCCCATCAAAATTTGTTTTATAGAAGAGATGTGTTTGTTTTAAACATATAATGTATTACTTGTTTTAGAGGTACTAGGGGTACAGGTCTGTGATTCATTGGTCTTACACAATTCACAGCACTCACCATAGCACATACCTTCCCCAGTGCAGATCACACCGCCACCCCATCCCTCTGAGCACCCTCCTCCTCTCCAGCAACCTTCAGTTTGTTTCCTGAGACCAAGAGTCTCTTAAGTTTTATCTCCTTGTCTGGTTTTATCTTGTTTCATTTTTCCCTCCCTTCCCCTGTGATCCTAGAAGACATGTGTTCTTCTATGTCTTTCTCCTTTTTGTAGTACGTTCTTCTGGTAATTGTCCACTTCATTTTTGTGACCTGTCTCTTTCTAGGTATTGATACTGGTATACATTTTCTATAGCAAACTTTTGCTAATAAGCCCAATTTATATCAGTTGTATTGCCTTTTTAGTATGGTAAGACATTCAGTGGCAGTGACGTTTTAGCCTTAAGTGTGGCTATATGTATGTTTGAAGGAAAGAAATTTGCTGTATTTGGGTTTCATCTTCTAATCCAGTTCCTGTCTTTAAGAAGGGACTGAACATAGTCATCATAATGAGAAATATCAACTGTCTTCCTAAACATTGTTTCTTCCCATTCTCCAGTTTCTATTAAGTTCTCTTCCCCAATGTTATTTACTTCCTGTTCTTACTTACCTTTTATTTTAGATCACAGATTCTGCTGGTCATATTCTATACTCCAAGGAAGATGCAACCAAGGGGAAATTTGCCTTTACCACTGAAGATTATGACATGTTTGAAGTGTGTTTTGAGAGCAAGGGTAAGTAATCAGAGTGTTTTCCCTGAATTAAGTGTCTCCTCTCAAGTTAGAGCCTGAACTTTCTCTCTTGGGCTATTGGGAAAAGGAAAAGAAACTACATTTGTTGATGTCTTTCACACATAGGAGTGAAAGTTGGCTAATCAGCTGAGTTCTTCATGTACAGGAGTAGGCATTTCTTCAATGCTGTGACATATCTGGCTTGAATGATAGAGGCGAATTCCATATAGATGCTGGAATATAATGCATTTATATATATGCTAGTGACACATTTTCTCAGGGATCAGAAATAAGGCCTGTCTGACAAACAATATATGGCAAAGTTAGAAATACTTTCGGTTTCCAGAGCATTTTCCTAGTTCTATCTTGGTGTGGATTCTTCTGTGCATCTCAAGGTCAAGACCCCATAGTACTGTTCAGTCTGAATACTTGATGGCTTCTGTGCTTAGTAACGGGTGAAAAGGCAGACTCCTTTTTACTCCCTATTCATTAGCTTAAAGGACACTAGACTCTAAAAGTTTAATGCGTTTGTAATTGTTATATTAGTTGGGACCCTTTTGGGCTGCAGGATGTAAAAACTCAAAGTGTCTTAAAGAAAAAGAAGAGAGAGATCGTTGGACTCTCTGAACTGGGGACTTTGCAGTGGGGTGCTGACCTCAGGCCCAGCGGCATCTTGGTGTTTCAACAGTGTCATTGGAACTCTACCTCTCAGTGTTTCCTTTCCTTGCCTCCATTTAATTTTAGTCTCGGGCTTCTTCTGTGTAGTAGCAAAAGGACTTCTGCCAGTTTTACATTTGTAGAATATTCAGAACATAGGATCCTGGAAGAAGAGCGAGCACCTTTGCTAAAACAGTGTCAGTGGATTCCCTTCCCAGGGCAGCAGACAAACCAGCTGCTTTTGACAGTTCATCAAGAATTGACTCCCTTGATCTAAAGTTGGTCAATCTAGCCTAAAAGCCAACGGAGGTTGTCAGAAGTAAAGGGGCGAATAGATGAAAAATTTTAAAAAATTAAAGGATTTTAATGGTGATTTCATCACTGATACCCTTCTGTCTGCTCCCACTGGTGCCAGTTCCAGGATGTCTCAACTATATTCTAGACATTTCCACATGGTTGTGCCACTCTTGCCTCAAAACCAAGGTGTCTCAGACTGTGTTCACAAGCCTCCCTTTCAAACGAATTCCCCCTCTTACTAGTGTTAACTACTATCCTCCCAGTTACTTGGGCTCACATTTTGAAGTTATTCTTGCGTTTTTCAGCCTATCATCGAGTTATACTGATACTTCTTTCAGAATATCTTCTGTGTCTGTATCTGTCACCACACAAATGTGAACTCTTTTAAATCATGGATTGTGTTGGGGCGCCTGGGTGGCTCAGTTGGTTAAGTGGCTGGCTCTTGATTTTGGCTCAGGTCATGAGTGATCTCGGGCCTGGGATCGAGCCCTGCGTTGGGCTCCGTGCTGGACGTGGAGCCTGCGTAAGATTTTCTATCTCCCTCTCCCCCTGCTGTACCCCCCAAATACATATGTGTGTATATATATGTGTAAATGTATACACACAACAGTATAGTCAGCGCTCAATTTCTAGTTTCATTTATATTGATATGGAAACAAGATACCTTATAGTCTTTAGAGCAGCTTTTAAGATATTGTCCATTTGGGGCACCTGGGTGGCTCAGTGGGTTAAAGCCTCTGCCTTCGGCTCAGGGTCCTGGGATCGAGCCCCGCATAGAGCTCTCTGCTCAGTGGGGAGCCTGCTTCCTCCTCTCTCTCTCTGCCTACTTGTGATCTCTGTCTGTCAAATAAATAAATAAAATCTTAAAAAAAAAAAAAGAAATTGTCCATTTGACAGAGAAATGCAGAGAAGTTTGGTGTTTGTTTTGTTTTTAACAAAAGGGACCCTTTAGGGCCATGATGTCAGCTAAGGGGCTAGGCTAGCTGGTCTGTGCAAGAGACCCTGTGGTCTAGACTGAGAATAGCCAGAGGTCTGTGGTTTCATGGTTTCACTTGTGTTTGAATAATGCTAATGCTGTGCTGTGGCAACAGAGAGATGTTGGGAAGAGTCTGTTAAGAAGAAAATATTTTCATCTTTTGGGCCAGGTGGGGTTGTAAGCTGATTCAGTTTCATAATTTTTTAAATGAGGAAGGAGAAGCAAAAATCTGCACTGCATCTGTTACGGGCCAGTGCTGTGATCACGATTACACATTGGATTTGAGGGAAGAGATCTCCCTCTCTGGGTGCCACTTTTTGTTTTGTTTTGCAGACTGACTGGTTTAATGCTCAGAAGGCATCTGTGACTTAGTTTCTTAGTCCTACCTAAGTAGTGTTATTTCTGTTGCTTTCTCTCTCTTTTTTTTAATTTACATTTTTAAAAAGATTTATTTATTTTTGAGTATTTTGTTTATTTATTTGACAGAGAGACAGCAAGAGAGGAATATTAGCAGACGGAGCGGAAGAGGGAGAAGCAGGCCCCCCGCTGAGCAGGGAGCCTGATGCAGGGCTTAATTCCCAAATCTTGGGATCATGACCTGAGCTGAAGGCAGACACCCAAACTGAGCCACCCAGGCACCCCAAGATTTTTATTTATTTATTTGTCAGAGAGAGAGACAGAGCATAAGCAGGGAGAATGGCAGACAGATGGAGAAGCAGGCTCCCTGCTGACCAAAGAACCTGATGTGGGAGTCAGTCCCAGGATCCTGGGATCATGACCTGAGCTGAAGGCAGATGCTTAACCATCTGAGCCACACAGGCACCCCTGATGTGCATTTTTAAAAAGATTTTTATTTTATTTTTAAGTAATCTCTTAACACCCAATGTGGGGCTCAAACTCAACCCAAGACCAAGAGCCACATGTGCTACCAACTGAGTCAACCGGGTGTCCCTCTGTTCCTTTCAGGTTGATCCTTCTAATCTGTCTAAAAGAACTTCTTAACTGTCTTTTATTTTTTATTTTTTTTTTTTTCTTAAATTTATCTGACAGAGATCACAAATAGGCAGAGAGGCAGGCAGAGAGAGAGAGAGAGAGAGAGAGAGAGAGGAGGAAGCAGGCTCCCCGCTGAGCAGAGAGCCCAATGCGGGGCTCGATCCCAGGATCCCGGGATCATGACCTGAGCCGAAGGCAGAGGCTTTAACCCACTGAGCCACCCAGGCGCCCCCTTAACTGTCTTTTAAACATCCATACTCATTTCAGTGTTTGAGCCCTTGCCTGTGCTTTGCCCTTTGCCTAGAGTACTTTGTCCTTGACTTCAGGTGCTCTCTCTATTTAGTAAAGTCAGTCCACAGCTACTCCCTTCCCTTCTCTAACCTTTACTCCATAGCTGGGATTATCTGAACTGGGTTTTTCCTCTTCAGATTTTTACTGCTTTGCATTTGGATCATAGCTCTTATGCATGCTTGTCTTAGATCCCCATCGAATTGTTTGAAGGCAGAGATTGTAATTCAGTCACCTAGTGTGTTCTCACTGAGTAGTTATTGAATTGACTTCAGTCCATTTCAGAAGCTTCAAGACGCAGAGTGTAGTACTGTTCTCTCTGGCTTGTAGTTTGGAGAACTCCCCTGCTTAAGTGGCAGCGTTGCCCTAAACTCCTAATTCCATGTAGGCAGGGTTTTTAAAAAGAATTGATTGATTGATTGATTGATTGATTGTCAGAGAGAAGAGAAAGAGAGAGAGAGAGCGCACACGAGCACACAAGCAGGGGGAGTGGCAGGCAGAGGGAGAAGCAGGCTCTGAGCCTGACGGGATGTCCTGGGACTCTGGGATCATGATCTGAGTCAAAGGCAGACGCTTCATCAACTGAGCCACTCAGGTGCCCCCCATGGAGGCAGTTTTCTATTTCATAAATAATTACGTGAATTCCTGGGGACTGAGGCTAAGCAGTTTTCTGGGACTCTTGACTCTTTTTTTTCTCTCCTACCTGTTGATTTAAGATTAAATTCTTTTTTATCAAGCTGAATCAATTTACCTTTTCTAATATGAGCCTAGCTCTGTTGGCACTCCTGTCCCAAATAGACATTTCTCTTTCTAAGTAGCATCCCTGAAAATTGTACTCTTCTTTACAAGTGTTTTTCTTGGGCTGTTCTCTTTTAAGTGTTTTGTGGGTCCTATAACATTTTACCGACCTACTAAAATGTCCTTACATTGAACCAAAAGGCTTGAATTAAAGTGGAATATTAGCTAAATTCTGTGATGTTTTCAGTACTCATGTTTATGTTAAGTAAATCCAAGCTTAGCATATACCCAATAATCCTTTTTTTCAAAATTTGACAGGGCACCCTTTTCATGTGGAAACAGACCTTTCAATCTTAGTTGGTGCCCCACTACCTATTGGTCTATATGCCACTCAGTTTTATACTGTTTTGACTTGACTTTTATTTCCTAATCCAGTAAGCCTATATATTGTCTCTTCTGCTCCTCTGTCCCTGTGCAGTACCAGCTGCAGTGTCTTGTGTCCTGCCGGCTCAGAGATGTTTGCCAGCAGCATGTTCTCGTTGCTTTCCGGCACCCCACACAGATAGAGGCTTTGTCTGGAATGCTGGTGATTTTAGCAAGAGCCAGGAATTTTCTGCAGCTGAGTAGGGGGAGGAGTTGTGGCTGTTTCCCTCTATTGAGAGGGTAGGGGTTAGAGAGAGGGAGGGTGGGTGGGTGATTTCCCGGAATTTTAAATATTCTACACAGTGAATCTTTTTATTTCCTTCTCAGGAACAGGGCGGATACCTGATCAACTCGTGATTCTAGACATGAAGCACGGAGTGGAGGCGAAAAATTACGAAGAGGTATGTCCTGCTCTAACAGCCAGTAGTAGTGTGCTGTGCTATGAGGCTTCTGTGACCCAGTCAGGCCAACTGGCTGTGCTTTGCCCAGAAGGCTTTTGTTTTCTCAGCAGTCATGTGACAACCAGCTACAATCTTATTGATACAAAAAGTTGTGTTAACAGCCTTGAACAATAATCTGGCTGTGGCTTTGGCCAAATGACTGAACCAACTACCCCATAGACAGTGTTGGTGTGTAGGGACCACCTGGGTGGCTCAGTTCATTAAGCATCTGCCTTCAACTCAGGTCATGATCTCAGGGCCCTGGGATTGAGCCCCATGTTGGGCTCCCTGTTCAGTGGAGAGTCGGCTTCTCCCTCTCCTTCTCCTCCTTCCCCTGCTTGTAGGTGTACTTTCTCTCTCTTTCTTTCTCTCAAATAAATAAAATCATTTAAAAAACCCCAAAGCCACAAGAACTATTTAAGACTGGAGGATTGGTCTTTACAGAAAGTTGAGTGTTTTTACCCAGATCAGAAATCGTCTTACAACAGGACCTGAAAGTATGAAGAAGAGGTGGGGGACAGGAAATGTAAATGGTTTTTTAAAGAATGTAAACTAAATAAAAGAAAGTTGATTTAAGTGATTTGAGAGAATTTTCATGGGACTGGTGGACCCACAGAAAGTTGCTCCATCTTTGGTCAGGACCTGGGAGGGAAATGTCCTAAAATGGAAGAAGATTGGAAGTGACCAGCTAATTCTCCAACAGGAAGTAGCAGTACAACAATTGCAGCTCAAGTCTTTCCTCTTTTTCATAGTTCAGATATCCAGTAGAAGAACACAAGGCTGAGTTATTTGTAGGTGATGAACAGGAGGGAGGGAGGCACTAGAGGTAGTGAATGGAAGATAGTTCCTCGTAGAGACTTTGAATTGCTTTGTTTCTGTGTCTAAGCTGGTTTAGTTAAAAAACAGAAAGAAAGCAAAAGAGCCTCTTTATTTGATGAAATGAAGAGTAAATTGAAATAATCCTTTTTAAACTTTGATGGTTGAGGGCAGTCTTAATTATATTTAAATAAGATATTGTAAAAATGCTATTGTAAGGTAAAAAAGAGAAAATCTTGTTGCAGTTTTTCTGAGGTAGAAGAGTAGGTAAGATGATTTTCAGTTTTCGATGACTGCTGCTGTCTTCTTAACTTGACACCACTCTCTAAGCCAGCGTGCATTGTTACACCAGAAATTTTACCTGTTGTAACTTTTTCCTCCTGATACGATGGCTGCCATTATATTAAGTAATAGGGCACGTGATGAGACATTAGATACCATTTTTCCCTCTAAAACAGAGGGCATTATTGTGAGTTTACATGGAAAATGATGTGGACATCTCTGTCACAAAGCATATTAGAACTCCTGTTCCTCCTGGAATGTCTACCATCCTTGGACTTTGTTGACATTGGGGAAGGACTTTTATCTTTCCTGACCTTCTGCTTAACCCAAGAGGGGAATCCCTAGCAGAAAGGAAACCACAGACTTCCTTTGCCTGCTTCCTGCTTTGGAAGTCTGGCACGTCTTAAGCGTCATTACGCACATAGTTACAACACAGCTCTAAATTTTGTTTCTTAACCAAGAAACTAACTCCTGCTACTACTCTTTTTGGCGACCTTACCACCAGCCCCCCCCCCCCCCCCCCCAAAGCAAACTGAGGCAGAGGAGAAGTGGTTTCAACACAGGCAAAAAGCAGCCCTTTCCTCAGTCAGTGGCTAGGCTCCCTTGAATCTTGCTTAGAAATAGCTGTTACTTGTCTCTCAGCAAGTGCCTGTGACAAGAACATGAATAATAGAAACACTTGTTCTCTGGTTAATTACCAGAGAGCACTGAGTGTATGTAGAGGTTCTGAGGCATTTAATTTCAGGCCCTTGAAGTAATAGCTTTTATCTCCAGAGGATTTGGGCCTGTTGGTATAAACATTTGGCTTTAGGGAGGTGGCACATTTCTTTAAGTTTCTCCCTCACAGCTGTGGGCTTCATGATTCTAAAGTCCCTTGTGGTTTTGTAAAATTGAATAGTAGTCAGTGTTTCAGTAGCTGGGCCAGAGGGCTCCAATGCCTGCTAAATTGTTACAGAGGATTTACTTAATTAGTGCATGTGAAGTTAGTATGTAAACAGTACAAATGTAAGATGATATTTAGAAGCTGGAATGGTTGTCCTGTTGTAAAGAAGCATATTGTAGTTTGAATTCTTTAAAGAGTTCAGAATGCTTATGCCCTCAGAAATAAAGCACTTTTGATTTCCTGTGTTGAATTTTAAGGACCTTTCACCACTGTCTTTTGCCCATGGTTGGGGGAGGGGGGGCACATCTGTATAGAGTCGGTATGTGAATTGAGCCAGTATAGTTTTTTTTTTTTTTTTTTTTTGAGTTTGTGGTCTGTGGAACTAGAGCAGCTGCTTAGGAGAAGTAATTGTCTAATCCTGCAGTTGCGGAAATGAAGGCAGTAACTATCCCACGAAGAAGGAGCTATCTGACCCATCCTCTAACTCTGGGGCAGTGTATGTCCCTTCTTGATGTGGATGTCTGCATTTTCAGCACAACTAAAATCCTCTTGTGCCTGTGAGTTCTGTTAGTGTGTCATTTGCTGTCAACGTGTATACCAAAAACAGTTGCCCTTGTTGGAGCAACAGCTGAAGACTTTCCAAAAGTTCTACTTTTTTTGAGTGCACTTAGGGAGGAAGAACTCTGGTTCTGTGTACTAGCTCCAAAATACTTCTCTTGACAGGAGCTAAATGGAATAATGTATGGGCAAGGAACCCGACCCATAGTTTGGTTAGTTCAGTGGATTTTGCTCCCTTTGCCTACCCTTTCTGGAAACTCTGACAAAGTAAATAGGATCATGCTAAATTCCATATAACCCTAAGATTGGCCGTATAGTCTGGCCTTATGTTGGCACATTCTTGACCTTTTGAGCTTCTGTGAAGAGGCTTGTGATTCACATATCTCCCCACACAAGTAGACTTGTCTTTGGCTGAGGTCTGCCTTCTTTATCTTCATTATGGAGACTAGATGATCTCCGCTGTTACTCTTCTAAAATTTGGGGGGCTCTGGTGGGGAGTGTGGAGGTAACAGCAATTTGACTGTAATTGGCTTACCACAAGAAGCTTCTCTTGAGTTTCAGTGCTCCACCAAGGAAAACAATCCAATAATTCTCTATAGAGAGGTCGGTTTCATGTGTGTTTTAAGAAGTTTTTCAGAGAATGTTTCCTTGGTGTAATTACATATGACTCTGAATTCTAGGTTCAGGTCATCAATAGGGCAGTGGAAGATTTGGATATGGCTTAAGAAGGGTAATTTGGGGGCGCCTGGGTGGCTTAGTGGGTTGGGGCCTCTGCCTTCGGCTTGGGTCATGGTCCCAGGGTCCTGGGATCGAGCCCCGTGTCGGGCTCTCTACTCGGCGGGGAACCTGCTTTCTTCTCTCTCTGCCTGCCTCTCTGCCTACTTGTGATCTCTGTCTGTCAAATAAATAAATAAAATCTAAAAAAAAGGGGGGGGGTAATTTCACGTATTTTTGGAAATATGCAGGGAAAGGCTTTCTGAATTGCATCTTTTCCAAGCAGTCCTGACCACCGCAGATGAGAGATAGCATGGTAGGGAAGACTTTCTCCTGAGCACTAGGTCAGAGTAGATGCAGAGCGCTCTGAGGAAGCCTTTCTTCAGGACACCAACAACACTTATTAATCTCCTATGAGAAACTTGGCTCTTCTGAAGAAGGCATCAAATGGGGATGCTACACAAAGTATACATTGTGTGAGTTCAGGGGCCAAACTAGCGTGGGGAAAAAAACAATGTGACTATGACAATATATGATTATTAATTATGTGGCACGGTCTGAGTGCTGTAGGACTTTAGGAAAGAGGGAGTGGGTGTTGACGGAAGTGGTTAAAGGAAGCTTCATGGTTAAGGCTTGAAAGATAGGAAGGATTTGGGTACACTGAGCAGATAGGCTTTTGGAAGTCAAAGGTATGGTTTTGCTTGCATTTTACAGCAGCAGAGCTTTGCAGTTCTGATGCTGAATAAATGCTCTGGTGACCTTGTCTAGGCATTCAAGAGACCGTGGATCTGCTAGGCCTGGTGTTCCACCCAGTGGACTTGATTAACTGTGGAAACTTGAGTTTCATTTGTCAAATGAACTCCTTTGTAGCTCTAGTACTCTTCATTGAATGGCCATTGTACAGTTTACCGGGGAAATGCTACCCTCTAGTGGACAACCTCTGGTACATAACGTCAAGTAGGCTTTGCTTTCATCAAGCTGTTGGCAAAATATAGAGATCACCTTTCCAGTCTGAGTAGAGAGAAGTAAGTAGACTGGAATAATGGCGTGCAGTCGTGAAACAAGCATAATTTCACATTCTTACAGACAGTTTGAACATTAAATCACACATTTTAGGAAGAGCAGAACAACAGTCAGTGGGGATTTTTGATACAGGTGTTCTTGTTATCTTTTTGTACTGACTATGATAAAAATCTTGATGATACTCATTGAATACTTAGTCCTGGGCAAGCGAAGAGGGTCTTCCTGAGAATAGTGACGACAATTTGCATAACATTTTACTCTCTTAGTCTGTAAAAATTAAAATAATAGCATGAAACCAGGGAAGTTTGACTAGTAAACTGGACAACTTACCCAGATCCTTGTGGCCTAATATAGCTTGATCACTTCACCTTTGATCCAGAAAAAACTTAGTGGAGTCTGCTAGTCTCCTTCATCAAACCTTTAGTACCTTCAGAATAAAATATAAACTCAGACTTGGATTCCAGTCTCCACTCCTATCAAGCTCTGAGAACTTGGGCAAGTTATTTAACACTTTGAATCTTAATTTACTCATCTGAAAATTTTAGGGATAATAATATTCACCTTATATAGGGTTAGGAGGATTAAGCAAGATTATAAGGGATAAAATATATACACATTGTAGATATATACTGATAGATCTAATTCTCTATACTACTTTCTTCATCCTCTGCTCAGTTGAGCTCCACCCGAATTTTTGAGCATTATATTTGCGATTACCAACCACCCTCCCCCAAGAATGGGTGTGTGTTGACACATGAGTACACGCACACACGCACACAGATCAGACAATGTACAATCTAAACAAGGTCTGCCTGCAGTGTCCTCCCTCTGTGTTTTGGTTTGCAAGTTTCCCCTCAGCCTTGAATGTCTTTCTCTCTCAAAATCCTACGTCATTTGTGAGACCCACCTCACCCGCTTCCTGTTAAGCTTTCCTTTATCCTCACAACTAAGATTAATCTTGGGCTATTTTCTTTCCTTTTCACTTTTAATGTGTGCCTATGTTGTAGACATTAATATATAATGCCTTATATTATGGTTATAGTTTTTTATATGAGCCTCCCCACCAGACTATGAGCTTCTTAGGAGCAGAGATCATCATTTATCTTTGTTCCTTGCACGTAGTAAGCACTCAAGAAAGCACTGTGGTTAGGGTCTTAAAATGTTTTTGGTTTTTTTTTTAAAGACCGCTTTGTACATTTTTTTTTATCTCTAGGTGTAGATTAAATGTAAATATATATCCATTATTACTGTTATTTTCCATTCAGTATCCACGATGTGTTAGATGGTTGGAATAGAAAGTTGGTTTTCAACATTGTTTGAGTCTCTTGGCAGTTCTTTAACTTTCCTAGATTTAAAATTAATATCAAGTAAATAAAGCTGTTTGTTAGGCAGAGATGTGTTTTAGGGAAAGAGACCTTCATCCCACTCATAGGAGGCTGAAAATAATTTACCAAATTAAGGAAAGGGTTGAGTAAGGGTTATTTCATTGAGGAAATAACATCAACAGCATTTCCAACATCAAGGAAAATGGGAATTGGGCTGTTTGGTTATGAATAGAACTAGAGTTTGGAGTAGGACCTCTACTGGAAAATAGTTGGGGAATTGAATGATTAAGTAAACAATGGCCTGTAGGCAGTATGGAATCCCGGGTAGCAGTTAAGAAGAACAGGTAAATCTATAAGCACATAAGTTTTTGGAAAGATCTTATTAAATGAAAAAAAAGCAAGCTGTGGACAATGTGTGCAGTAGGCCCCCCATTAATAAATATGTTTTTAATTGTGTGTTTCTGTGTCCATTTATATGCACACCAAAGCATAAATAGCGTGTATCTTTCTAGCAAGGTCTAGAAAGATACACACCAAATGCATGACCATGGTTACCTTTGAGAAGGAATGTGTGAGTAATGGGAATTGAGGAGCCATGTGAAGGTAGGCTTTTTGTTTTTGTTCCCTTTGCTTCTGAATAGTTGACATGTGTAGCAAGAGAGCATGTTTATGTGTTGCCTGTACAACAAAAAAATAAATGAAACATCAGAAAAGGAAAGGATTGGGAGCAGGATTTTTGGTCTGTAATTTACAAAGGCCATCCTCAATATCAAGTTTACTTGGTTTTTCAGGTTTTAGGGCATTTAGGTTTTAGGCATTTGGCCTATTGTCATTTAACAAAAAAGGTGAGGAGGGTTAGAAGTAGTCTTCAAAGTGTTTTTTGTTTTTTTTGTTTTGTTTTGTTTTTGTTTTTGTTTTTGTTTTTTAAGAATATTTTCAGGGGCGCCTGGGTGGCTTAGTTGGTTAAGCTTCTGCTATCAGCTCAGGTCAGGATTGCAGGGTCCTGTTGGGCTCCTTGCTCAGCGGGGAACCTGCTTAATCCCTCTCCCTCTGTGGCTCCCCCTGCTTGTGCTTGCTCCCCCCCTCCCCGTCAAATAAATAAAATCTTTAAAATAAAGAATATTTTCAGCTGGCAGAGGCATGGCCATAGTTTCATCTCCAGTTCTTTTTGCAAGTTTCTATTTAGAGAGCCCTAAATCATTTATTGCTAAAGAAATTTCATGCCATTGCTTTTATACTATCTCATTCAGGAAGCTTTGGAGATAAAAGTATAAACCAGGAGGGAAAATGTTAAACAGGCGAAAACTGAGCTTATTTTATATATATATATATGTATCTATATATCTATATAGATATATATATATGTATCTATATAGATATATAGATATATATATATGTATCTATATAGATATATAGATACATATATATATATCTATCTTGTATTGATAGCTTTTCCCTGGGGAATTTTTTTGCTCTGTGGCTCTATACGAGATGAACAGATGCGTATTCTAAATTAATGACAAAATTTGGCATTTGGGCATTAAGCTAGGAGAATTAGCTAAATGCATTAACTAACCATTAGTTAAATGTTAAAGTCCGTTAGCTTCATTCTGTTTCTAGCTGTCAGTCATGTCATTAATTCTAAGCCAACACTTTACGAATGTAAGAAAATGTACATCTAGTCTAAGAAAACTTAGGTGGATCATTGCAGAGTCATCACACTTTATGTACCTTATTTAAATATAAGCTTCAGGGACTCCTGGGTGGCTCAATTGGTTAAATGGCTGCCTTTGGCTCAGGTCATGATCCCAGGGTCCTGGTCAGGGTCGTCTTCTCTCTCTCCCTCTGCCTGCCACTCTGCCTGCTTGTGCTCTTTCTTTCTCAAATAAATAAATAAATTCTTTTAAAATATATAAATAAATAAATACTTAATTTTTATATCCGCATCCTAACAGCAATTTCTAGTTTTATTTTAAGTGACTTTTAAAATTTTTTTTCTAAGATTTTACTTATTCATTTGAGAGAGAGAGAGAGAGGCAAAGAGAGCACAAGCAGGGGAAGAGGCAGAGGGAGAAGGAGAAGCAGACTCCCCACTGAACTGGGGGCCAGACATGGGGCTTGATCCCAGGACCTGGAGATCTGAGACTGAGCTGAAGACAAATGCTTAATCATCTGAGCCACCCAGGTTTCCCCAAATAACTTTAATTTTCAGTAACTTCACATGTTCAGTGCAGAATGTAGATGAGCAAAGAGAGCATAAGAACACCCTTAAACTCTTCCTATTCATCCCATGTTAACTGCTGTTAACATTAACTGAAAAAGAACAAAGAAGGTGAATTGGACAAAAGAGAAGAAAAGGTAGGGAGTTCTATAGGGAACATAAAATAAATAGAGAGTAAAGAAGCAGATATAGAAAAAAAAATTTTAAAGATTTTATTTATTTATTTGAGATAGAGTAAGAGAGCATGAGCAGGGGAGCAGAGGGAAAGGGAGAAGCAGAATCCCCACTGAGCAGAGAGCATGACGCGGGGCTCGATCCTAGGACCTCGGGATCATGATCTGAGCTGAAGGAAGACGCTTAACTGAGCCATCAGGCACCCATAGAAAAAGAATTTTTGATGAATTCTCTATGTAGAAAAGATCTAAGAGCAGCTGGTATATAAGTTTTAAGATCTAGAAAACTCTGGTGGTATATCCTCATTTTAAAAGTAAATCACAGTCTTAGAGTGATAGGAAAAAAACCAAAAATAGAATAATAAAATCTTTGCTTTTGTCATATCTGCCTTTAGTTACTAGGTACTCTTGGAGGTTTCACAGTGGTCTAGGCTGAGAAAGGAAAACAGCTCATTTCTTTCTCACATCCTTCCTTCTTTAGCATACAGGGAAGTCCTCGGAGATTTCTTTTGATAACTGGCTATGTAATTCTTTAAAAAAAAAATGTAGTGTTTTTTGTTTTTGCATTTTTTGTTTTTTGGTTTTTTAGCAAAGCTAGGATTCATCTGGGCTCTGGAGCTCCGATATAAACCCTAAAGCTATTGTGGGATTTAAAGGAGCAAACAAGAATTCTCTATTTTTATAGTGTGAGTTGTTATCTTGATGTTATAGTTACATATACTCTCATTCCTGTGCATTGTGTATTGGGAATTTGGAGGGTTTTCTTTTAAAATCACGTCTGACTAACAATGACTCCAACTGTGCTGATAAATGTTTCTTTCTTGGACATCAGTAGGAGGTCAGTGTGAAGCCTGCTTCTCCTCTCCCCCTTCCCCAGCTTGTGTTCCCTCTCTTGCTGTGTCTCTCTCAAATAAATAGTAAAATCTTTTAAACAATAAAATAAGAAATCTTAGGAAAATATTTTACTTTATAACCTACCATATTATAGTACTTCCAAGGAGGTTTTAATCAAAATTAAAGTATCAAAAAAGTCTGAGATGGAAACATAGGAACAGTTTGTGCGGAAGGACAGAAGCCCAGATTTTAAAATGTTAGAGTGATAACCGAAAAGATTTTAAGTTTGGTAAAACTTTTTTTTTTTAAGATTTTATTTTTCAGTAATCTCTACATCTAACATGGGGCCCAAACCCACAACCCTGAGATAAAGAGTCACATGCTCTACCAGCCGAGCCAGCCAAGTGCCCTGGGTTTGGTGAAACTTTTCAAAGACTCATCTGTCGCCTTGTGTTCTAGACTAAAGCAGTTTTGTCAAGAAGTGGGTTCATAATTCCTTTCTTTTCCAGATTGCCAAGGTTGAGAAGCTCAAGCCTTTAGAGGTGGAGCTCCGACGCTTAGAAGACCTTTCAGAATCCATCGTTAACGATTTTGCCTACATGAAGAAGCGAGAGGAGGAGATGCGAGATACCAATGGTGAGGGGAGAGCAGCTCTGGTTTCTTCGTAAAGGAGACCGAACTCTTTTCTCAGTTTTGCCAAATGGGGATGGGGGAATGGGATGATCCCTTACTTAAGTGTTGCTGCTTCTCCAGGTACACGAGCTTTGTTAGATTTTCAAGGGGATAGAAATTTCTGTGGTATGCAGTTGACCATATTCTCAGCTTATTGAGTATCAAACTGATAGTAGTAATCTTTGTAATTTCTAACATTTATATGTGGAACAGTGAATTTTTTTTTCTTCTAAAACAGTGAACTTTTAAGAAAAAACAATCCAAAATCTACTGTCAGGTCTAGGGCCTGAGTGAAGTTAATGATTTACTCCCCCCCCCCCCACCGCCGCCGCTGTGTAGCCTGCTGAGCCTCACGTCATTGCCTTATAACACTTTTGTTTTTTTTAGAGTCAACAAACACTCGGGTCCTGTACTTCAGCATCTTTTCAATGTTCTGCCTCATTGGACTAGCCACCTGGCAGGTCTTCTACCTGCGTCGCTTCTTCAAGGCCAAGAAGTTGATTGAGTAATAAGGCCCAGTCTCCTCCCACCTTGTATCTCGGCCAGCTGAACATCGCTGGGACATGCCCAACCTAGGGCATCCTTCTAACAGCACCATCAAGGCACATTGGAGCTTTCTTGCCAGAACTGATCTCTTTTGGTGTGGGAGGACAGGGGTTACTGCCTACACCCAACAAGTCAGTGAGAGACTTCTTTTTAACTTGGTAGCATTGGGACTAGTTTTGCAACAATAGGACTATTATTAGAGTCCTCTGTAACAAAAAATAGGGGTTACCTAGGTAATGCCAAAGTCAGCATTTGTACTGGGTTTCCTCCTGTGATCGGTTTGAACCATGTTTTCTTTCCTTTTCCTACTTGCTCACCAGCTTGGGCTTCCACTTTAGTTCCTTTACCAAGGTTTGTATGACCATGTTGAACTTGTTTCATTTTGATTGTCCTCTTTGGATTTCTTCGTGAAAACACACTTCGCTTTCTCTTGACCCTTAGCTGAAATGTTTAGGTAGCTTCTGGTGATTTCCTTTCATAAATTCATGTCTCTTGAAAGGGTGATAGATGGACACCTCATAGAAATGAGCTTTGTACTGTACATAACTCTTAAAGAGGACTTCATTTTAGAGAATTAAAATATTTGTGCTCAACTGCTTGAACCTCTTTTGTGTATTTATGTGTGTTTAGCTCTATGCAGTTTTATCAGGTGTGGATTTGTGTGATCACCACCGCAGGATAGAGAACAGTCCCAACTCTCGTATCCCTGTACTACTACTTTTTATAACCATAGCCAGCTCCCTTCTTTTCCCCAGAGCCCCAACTTCTGGCAACCACTGATCTGTTCTCCATCTCTAATTTTGTCATTTCAAGAATGTTTTATAAATGGAATCATACAGTATGTAACCTTTTGAGATTGGCTTTTAAAACTCAGCATAATTCCCTTGAAATCCATCCACGTTGCTGCATGTTATCAATGGCTTGCTTCTTTTTATTGCTAAGGAGTATTTCATGGTACGCAGGTACCACAGTTTGTTTAACCATTCCCCCATTGAAGGACATTGGGTTATTGTCAGTTTTTGGCCATTTCTACTAAAGCTGCTATGAACATTCATGTACAGGTTTTCATGTGAACATAAATTCTCATTTCTCTGGGATAAATAAATGCCCAAGAGGGCAGTTGCTGGGTTGTATGATAAGCACGTGTTTATTTTTGTGAGAAACCATCCTACTCTCTTCTTGGAGTGACTGCCATTTTACCTTCCCACCAGCAACATGTGACCAGTCCAATTTCTCCAAATCCTCTCCAGTATTTGCTATTGTTGTTATTTTTTATTTTAGTCATTCTCATTGGTGTGTCTAGTAATGACTCATTATGGTTTTAATTTGCATTTTCCTAATGGCAGATGATGTTGAGCCTCTTTTCATGTGCTTATTTATCGTCCATATATCCTCCTCAATGAAATATCCTTTCCTATCCTTTTTACGCACTTTTTAATTAGCTTGTTTTTTCTAAGTTACAGAGTTCCTTATATATCCTAGATACAAGTTCTTTGTCAGATACGTGGTTGCTTGAATTTTTAACATAACTTCTAGCAAGGAAAATACAAGTAAAATTTACCAACTACTCTTACGTGGCCAGTCACCGACTTAATTCCTGTCCTTATGTGTTCCATCTAGCAAATTAAGACATTTGGGGTCTAAGAAAAACACACCTGGGAGGATTATGAATAGAACAAATACTTGAAACTGAATGTTGCAAACGCAAAGCCAAGAATTACTGTGGGAATGTAAGGTGCCTAAAGGCCATTAAGTAAGCAAAGGTATGGTTACAAATGAGCATGTTTGTGGACAGTTACAAAAAATAATGTCACTTGAAAATATCTCCATTTCACCCAGGAAAATGGATAGGAGTCTGTCCTTTCTGTAATCCCTTAACCCCTGCAGACTGTTACCGGGCTTTGTCTAACTGCAGAGGCAAGAATTAGAGGACTTAGGGCATATAGCTTGCGGTTAAGCAGTGCATTAGAATTAACAGAACACTGTTGTGATGACCAGGGTAAAATACAAAAGTAAAAGAGGGAGTGAGTTATGTTGTTAAAATCTCAGGCTGTTAATGTTCCAGCTACTGTGAACCCGAAAGCCCTTTATCTCCGACTCTTGACTTCTGTGAATGCCTCTGGTGCAGCATTAATTTGTGCAACATTGCCATCTGCTGGTGGGAATTGATAGGTACGGCTCCTGAGAACCTGGAGGCCAAATCCTGAACATAGGACAGTGGATGTTGAGAAAGTCCATCTGTGGTATTACATACACTAGATGACAGAGGATACATCCAGGTAGGGAAGAGAATAACCATACTTGTGGGTCAGATCCATTCTTAGAGGTCTAAAGGTCAAATTTTGTTCTGTACCTTTAGCCTAATAAGAAACTCTCATTTCTGAATGGTGCCTTTCCCCTTTTTCAGAAGCAATGAAAGTTCTTCTGTTTTGACAAAATGGCAAAGAAAAGGGTAGGAGAGGAGAACATTTTATTTTAATGATGTTTCTGTTTCCGAGTGTGACTTTGTGAAACTGGGATTTTTTTTTTCCATTCTTTCCTTTTTACTCACATGCCAAAAATACCAGCTCAGACACTTGTGCTTTCAGTTTAAAGTTCATTGATAATTACACCTTCATTTTATCAAAAAAGTAAACATTATTTGCCTTTGATAGAAGGCTAGTGCAAGAGTAAATCAGCTTTAAAAATGAAGAGTTTATCTGCTTTTCTCCATTTTGAGCCTTTTCAACACAGTCTGTATAATACAGATGGGGAATGATACAGTTTAAGCGCTGTTATATCATTGTCATAAATTTCTGTCATTAGCCATTTTTCTGTTTGCTTAATGGAAAGAGGCATGTGGGATTTCTACAGATTCACTTGTAAATGTTGGATTGGGGATTTTTGTGTAAATTTTCTCAAATAAATGCTAGCAGAAACCATTTTAGGTGTATGAGTATCTTTGTCTGAATTGGCAATAATTCTTCCATTTTCTTCAGTTTTAAAGTATGGCAAGTTATCTGTGATAAATTAGAGAAAAGGTTCTATGTGATTTACTACAGATCGATAAAGTTTCTTGAGCGAAGACAATTTTATTATCTTTTATATATAAATATGTAAGCTATATATAATGTGTATATAAACTTAGTCATAATAATTGACATCTTCGGAAAGGCTAAAATAGGGTTCTATAAGCCAAGCATTTTCTGTAGCTTCTCTTTGGGAAACTGCTATTGGAATTATTTCCAGAGTGTCTTCTCCCTTATGTTCATTCTTAAAATTCCCCTCCCAGTTCAGAACCTCTTAGGACTTGCTTTTTTGCCCATTACATCTATATAAAACCCAGTCCAGTGGGTTAAGGCAATTTTCTCCTTCCTTTTACTTACAGTTGAACATTTTTTTATAAAGCTCCTTTCCAAGAGTCAACCTGAAGGCTGGCATCTTATTTACCCTCAACCTCCAGTCCTCCAAAAAGTAGATAATTTGTCAGTGAATCTATGGTCTATAAAGTAGGGATTCCCAAATTTGAATATAACCTTTAATATCAAAAATGTCTTATTTCTCACTGATGATTTACTTTTACAGAACATAAACGGTGAACGAATTCAGCCAAACTTTTAAATGAACTTAATCATCTCAGCAGTATCATATGCTTGTTAAATGGTAGTATGTGTTTGGCATATTAATTATTCAGTCTGCTGTAGTGGTATTGCACATAACATACACCCCATGTATAGTTTTAAATTTTCTAGTATCACAGTGAAGTGAAAAGAAACAGGCAAAATTAGTTTTAATAATATAGTCTAACATATCCAAAAGAGCATTTCAACATACAGTCAATATAAAAATGATTAACGAATTTTTTTTTTTAAAGATTTTATTTATTTGACATAGAGCACAAACAGCAGGAGCGGCAGAGGGAGAGGGAGAAGCAGACTCCCCAAGGAGCAGGGAGCCCAATATGGGGCTGGATCCCAGGACTCCAAGACCATAACCCAAGCTGAAGTAAGGCACCCAACCGACTGAGCCACCCAGACACCCTGCGAGTATTTTTCTTTCTTTCTCTCATATAAAGTCTTTGAAGTCCATTATGCATTTTACAGCTACAGCACATCTGCATTCAGACCAGCTGCAATTCAGGTGTTTAATAGCTGTATGTAGCTAGAGGCTAATATTGGAAAGTGAAGGTACAGACTTCGCTTGGTACTTTAGTAGATTTTTTCATCTTTACAGTGACTCTGTGGCCCCAGGGATCTGCCATTCACAACCTGGAACTTCTGCTACATAGCATCCTGTTTACTTGTTAAAATACAACATATATCCGTTTTTGTCCAAAGGCAGTCTGAAATCAGTTATACCTTTAGAATGTTCAGTATTTCTGGATTTATGAATATTCAAAGGCCAGATGTTTAGTTTCATTTATATCGAGTATAATGAACTGAGCACGAGTGTTTCTGTTCCATACTCTCTAAGAGAACAGGACATTTGTCTCTTAAGCTTGTATCTATGCATTATAACTAAAACAATTTGTAATACCAGGCTAACAAAGCTACAGAAAACTATCATTCCTCATGGCAAAGATGCCAGAATAAAATGAAAAAGCTGTGGCTGAAACCTCTTTACTCTCGATTTTAAGTGATTACTTTTTCCATTCTTTTAACTGAAAAAAAAAAAACACCCACATTTATTGAACATATATTCTGTTTAATATGCTGAGTTAAACTCTGGAGAAGACTCAGATAAATAAGCAATACCTATCCTCAAAATGCCTTGTAATGAATAGGAGGAGGTAACTGAAATGGCGTCTATCCAGAATGATCTCCCTACTTTGTTTAGCCATCACTGACTTAACATTTTGCATATTTCTCCAGGAAGCCTTCATCAGCCCAGCAAGTCTGGCTTGGAAAGATGCCCCTCCTAAATTCCTTTCTGGGAGCTTGTACTTACTATAGCACAGAAAAGTTGTAATTGCCTAGTTACTCGTTATATGGACTGTAAGCTCCATGAGAGTAGGAACCACGCTATTTTTGTTTTCTTTCTTTTTTTTTTTTTAGATTTTATTTTTTTTTATTTATTTGTCAGAGAGAGAGAGGGAGAGAGAGCAAGCACAGGCAGACAGAATGGCAGGCAGAGGCAGAGGGAGAAGCAGGCTCCCTGATGAGCAAGGAGCCCGATGTGAGACTCGATCCCAGGACACTGGGATCATGACCTGAGCCGAAGGCAGCTGCTTAACCAACTGAGCCACCCAGGCATCCCTATTTTTGTTTTCTGTTATAACTCAGCACCTGGCACAAGTTGGTATTCAGTGTTTATTGAATGAATTAATTGAGAAATTTACAAATATCTATATAATCTGGCATACTGGAATGAAACCAACATAATGAAATATGACAGGGATTATCAGTTGGGCTTGCATTTAGGTTTAAAAAATATTCTATACAGAGGTGATAATGACCCAATATTTATCCATCAAATAATTTTTATTTATTTTTTTAGATTTTATTTATTTATTTGACAGAGATCGCAAGTAGGCAGAGAGGCAGGCAGAGAGAGAGAAGGAAGCAGGCTGCCCACCAAGCAGAGAGCCCAATGTGGGGCTCGATCCCAAGACCCTGAGATCATGACCTGAGCGGAAGGCAGAGGCTTAACCCACTGAGCCACCCAGGTGCCCCACCATCAAATAATTTGTAAGCTTTTAATAGCGAGCACTTTTCTAGGAATTGATACATAGTTGTAAATGAGTACAAAATCCAGGCTCTTGTGAAGTTTACATTCTAATGAATGGAGATAGTCAATAAAGAACATAACAAGACATCAGTATTTTCAAGCTTTGCAGATAACTGATGTGATCTAGTGGAAGAGCTGTGTTACCTTGGATTGCTTTGGATGTGGAAAAGAAGCTTCGTAAAGTACAAGTATGGTATAAGCAGACTATTGTTACAAAGGCTAGTATACTAATAGAAGTATTCCACCCAGATCAAGGGAGACAGAAGTCCCTTGTGCTCTCCTATTCAGAGCTAGTGTGGAATGTTATGCAGAGTGTAGGGTATCATACCTTACAAGGGTCACTGATGAGCTGTAGAGAGGTCATAGGTAGGAGTGTGAGCTCATCCTTCACAACTCCCCTATCCCATTCTACCAGGTATCTTCATCCTCTGCTTGCTGTCACTGTCCACCTCATGAGAAATCACAAAGTGAATCTTCACACTTACTTCATCAACCACATCTCAACTGATCACAAAGTTCTAGATGTTCCTCAGATGGGGCGCCTGGGTGGCTCAGTCTGTTAAGTGTCTGCCTTGGGCTCAGGTCATGATCCTGGGGTCCCGGAATCAAGGCCTGCATCAGGCTCCCTGCTTGGTGGGGAGCTATCTTGTCCCCCTTCCCCTCCCCTACTCATGCTTTCTGTCCCTATCTCTCTCAGGTAAAATAATGAAATGTTTTTTAAAAGTTTTTTTTTTTTTTAAAGATTTTATTTATTTATTTGACAGACAGAGATCACAAGCAGGCAGAGAGGCAGACAGAGAGGTGGAAGCAGGCTCCCCGCAGAGCAGAGAACCTGACGTGGGGCTCGATCCCAGGACATCGGGACCATGACCTGAGCCGAAGGCAGAGGCTTTAACCCACTGAGCCACCTAGGCGCCCCTGTTTTTAAAAAGTTTCTAAAAAATGTTCTTCAGATGGATTTCTCAAATCTGGACTTCCTTTCTACTCACACTGATAAATACTTCAGTGCCTCTTCTTTTCTTAGAATATAAATTGCCCCTTAACTGGTCTCCTTGCCTCTAGTCTTTGTCCTCCACATTGTTCTTTGTAAAATATAACTTTGGTCTTATGTAAAGTGACTGTATTGTTTATTGTCTGAGCTGGGCACTTGAGCAAAATAAAGCTCTGTTATTCCTGGGGGAAAGGTGTGAACTGGGACTTCCCCAGCAAATTGGGACACACAGTTACTAATCATATCCTCCCCTGCTTAAAAATCTTGAATAATTTTTTATTGCCCACAGGAAAGCCAAACTTAACAGTTGAGGCCCTGTCTTTTTTGCTTTTATACCACATATACCCTGGCCTCCAGCCACATAACTTTCTCTTGGTCCCAAAACATCATGCTCTCTGAATGGTGTGGATCCAGATTACTGGGTTTGACTCCCAGCTCTCCTTACTAGCTGTGTAACATTGAGCAGGTGACTTAACCTGGGTCATCTCCGTTCCTTCTATAGAATGAAAATAATACGAGGATTAAGTGGGATGACTCCAGGAAAGAAAACCTTTAGCGTAGTGTCAGGAACATAACACTTAATAAAAGTTAGCTGTTACCTCTGTGATGTTAGTCCTGTTCCTACAGCTTTACAGATTTAAAAAAAAAAAAAAAAAAAAAGCTTGGAGATGTAAAGTTGACCAAGGTCAGTCATTGATGGAACATGTTTTTTCACTGTATTACAATTTTCTTAGTGACTTGCGGGTAAGGAACACCTTCTTGTAGCTTTCCCACCCACAGAAACACTGTCTGGCACCTAGTGCTTTAAAGAATGTTGCATGAGGTTCGCCTGGGTGGCTCAGTGGGTTAAGCCGCTGCCTTCGGCTCAGGTCATGATCTCAGGGTCCTGGAATCGAGCCCTGCATCGGGCTCTCCGCTCAGCAGGGAGCCTGCTTCCTCCTCTCTCTCTGCCTGCCTCTCTGCCTGCTTGTGATCTCTCTCTGTCAAATAAATAAATAAAATCTTTAAAAAAAAAAAAAAAAGAATGTTGCATGAGATGAGACGGTCAAAGATGCGGAAATACACACGGAAGGAGAATGTTAAACCTGGAAAAAGAGTGTAAGGAGAGTTGACTTGAATTACTTTTGGAGTTGCATAGAAAAGGGACCTAGGGTGGCTCTGGGAGCAATAACTGGGCCCACGGACTGAGATGACAGGAGGCAAGCATTTCCGATTACTAGAGTTATCTTCAGTTTCTCACTAAACAAAGAGCACTGTTCAACGTGGAATCACTGCCCTTGAGATAGGCCTGGCGCCACAAAGCGACTGGGCGACCTCCGGACCTCGAAGCTGTTTGGAACGTGGCCAGGGATCGGGGGCGGGGTCTACACACCCGAAGGAGACTCCCCTGCCGCAGCCTGAAACCTCCGGTTCCGTGTCCCGCACAGCGGCCGGTGGGAGGGAGGGAAGCCGGGACTGCGAGACTAAGCAAGTGGGCGAGCGAAGGCGGTGAGGGCGTTGGGGAGGGAGGGAGAGCCCGCCGGGCCGGAAGCACCCGGAACTGGTTCCGGGGCAGGGGGAAGAAGCCACCATGGAGCCTCGCGGGTTTGCGGGGCTGACGGAGCCTCGGGCCGGCGTCTGAAGCGAGAGAGGCGTAGCGCGGCCAGCGCCACTGGGGACACGCAGGCCGGTCCCGCAGCCGCCACCATGTCGGTGCTGGGCGAGTACGAGCGACACTGCGATTCCATCAACTCGGACTTTGGGAGCGAGTCCGGGGGTGGCGGGGACTCGGGCCCGGGGCCCAGCTCCGGCCCGGGGCCACGAGCGGGCGGCGGCGCGGCGGAGCAGGAGGAGCTGCACTACATCCCTATCCGCATCCTGGGCCGCGGCGCCTTCGGGGAGGCCACGCTGTACCGCCGCACCGAGGTAGCGGCCCCTGGCTCCGGCCGCCCCAGCCCCTCCTTCGCCGCCCAGCTTCCCAGCCCCGACCGGGTCCCGGCTTTGCCTGCGGCTCGCTCCTCGGCCTCACTTAGATTTGCCTGGCCGCAGGGTGTATGTCTCAGGGTATTCTCCATTCTTCCAGCTCACCTGCACTGGAAATTGTAGATCACTGGTTTTACTGACTGGTCGTTTCTGTCGAACCCGGGGAACTGAGCAAGGCATTGGACCTTCTCTGAGCTTTAGTTTCCCCATCTGTACATTGGGGTTAATGATAACTATCCTAAAAAATAACCTTGATTTTTTAAGTTTAATTTTGAGGATCGAACGAAGGTACTTTGCAAACTGTAAATTAAAGTGGCATACGAATGTGAAGTGTTGTCAAAACTTCTTCTCACGTGTATAGCTCTCCAAGGTCGGGGTGGAGAGGAGGGGCGTAGCTTCAAAATTCCCACGTCAGTGGCAACTTCGTGTCTTTGCCGTTATCTTTAAGTTCAGGTATGAAAACTTAATTGGAGATTTTTCTGGAAGATCAGTGGGTTCGTCGTTGCTTTCTTCATCAGTGTTTATGCACGGGAGATACCTTTTCGATATATTCTGAGCCACTATTTCTTAACTTGGGTTGGCGGGAGGCAAGGACTCCTTTGAAAACCTGATGGAAACATAATCCCACCCTCCCCCCATCCCCTATTGCATATATACAGATCCTTTGGAAAGATTCGTGGCTCACTGACCCCCAAGTTTAGAGCGTAACACTGATCTGAAATCCTGTAGTGGTGACTACTTCCAAAAACTAGCCATCATTTGGATGTGATCCCTAAAGTCTTGAACTTGACTTTGGATGATGATGATTCATCCATAAGTGATCCATCTGCAGTTCTGGGGTGTGTTTCAGGCTAGCATACTTCTAAGGCTGAAAGATGGAGGAGAGGGGTGGTTGCAAGAAAAGAATCTTTAGGTGTTTTTTATCTTAATGCAACATTAATGTATGATTTTAGGGTTACCGTTAGTATCTGTTTTTCTTATTTGTACTCATGAAAAAGAGATAAGCATTGCTATTTCTGTTTTATAACTAAAGAAACTAAGACAGTATATTTAAATCACTTGACACTTCAATTAGAAGTAAATCTTGGGCTAGAACAGAGTTTCACATTTCCTCGCCCATGCCTTTCCAGCATGTTGATCTTGATTATTGAGGTTGGTTTTATGTTAAATTTGATTACACTTCCCAAAATTGGCATAGCATTATCTATATCACCAAATGTTTATTAGGTTTGTGAATTTACAAAGGGTTGATTAGAAGCAGCCCTTTCCCTCCAGAAGGTTAAATATCAGTGGGAAGACAAGTTAGCCCTGTTAGTAAGAAAAGAGCATTTAAGTTGTATGTGTATATAAATGAGAAAGGATGCACAAATATCATATCAGTGTATGAGTTCTGAAAATGAAGGAATGGATTGCACTGGATAAATGCACAGTAGAAGGTTTAATCAGGATATCCCTAAAAGGCCTGGCAGAATCATTTTAAGGGATAGGGAGAGTGATTTAGGTGGGGATGCTCCTGGGCTGGCGAGCAGCATCAGTAAAGAATTTGAGTGTTGTAAAATGGCGTGAATGTTGGGAGCTGCAGATAAATTGTCATGGATAAAGGAAAATACATGACATGTAAAAGTTGTAGGAGACACAGTTGCAAAATAGGGCAGGTAAGGGAAGTGAATTCTAAGCTCTCAGGCATGACTTATTCTATCTAGAAAGCATAAATAGAAATCACTATAGAGAAATCTAAATTTATACAAGTAGAGGTAAGTTTAATATTTCCATTTTACAAGAAACTATGGTCAACTCTAAGTAACTACTCTCTCCAGTTCTCCATTTCCCCAGTATTCTCGCCCTACTACAGTGTTTATCATGACTAGTAGCAGTTTGTCATGATGTCCTTCAACAGAAATCTTTGAGATGTACCCCTAGCTCATATTTTTACCTGGAATTGACATCATGCAAATTAAGTAAGTGTAGCAACAATGTCACAGTATCTTAGTGCTTTACTTTCCCTAATCCTGTAGTAAATGACAATGCTCAATTGTATGAAGAACATTAAATTCTGTTCCTGTTTTCTTTAAAGGAAGAAATTAAAGGAGTCAGTCTCTGCCCATCTGGGAGGTTTTTTTTTCCCTAGGCTTACAGATCAAGGTGTGGATTCATTCTCTGCCAGGCTAGAGGAAAGCACGATACCTCTATTACTGTGTTGTAGGATGACTCATTGGTTGTGTGGAAGGAAGTTGATTTGACCCGACTGTCAGAGAAGGAACGTCGTGATGCCTTGAATGAGATTGTTATTCTGGCGTTGCTGCAGCATGACAATATTATTGCCTACTACAATCACTTCATGGACAATACCACTCTGCTGATTGAGCTGGAATATTGTAATGGTAAGGTAAAATTCAGTGGGACCTCCTCTGGCAAGACATTGTTGTGCTTGTACTTACCTTGAAAGGGAGAAGAAAATAAGAGGCATATACGTTGATTAGAAACTTTAAACAGATTTCTAGTTTAAGAGAAATAGTTCAGATAGTTTAAGATAAGAGTTTTTGGAGAATTTTTAAGTGATTTACAAAATAAGAGGAGGGATTTCCCCTGCATACTCAAATTCTCTCTTATGCTTCTAGTTCCATCTTCAAATTATTTGTTGAGCTGAATTTTACATTCACTTTTCAAGGTTTTTTTTCACATGAATTGACTTTACTTAGGCATTAATGTTAGACATCTAATTAGGCACTAGAGACATAGTGCCTGGCTTGGCACTGCTTGATGTAATATTTAATGAAATCTTGTAAGTGATATTTATATCGACTCAGCCAGAGCTGTCCAATTGAAAAGTGGTTCAAAGATCAAAGCTGAATGAAAATGACACATAGCAATTCATGGCCTTACTTTATTTGGTCTCTGATTTCTTTGGACCATTTTGCTTGTAAGATAGCAGTATTAGCTCAGTCGTAGGAATATAGACTCTAAATCCATATCACAAGCTCTACTACTTCTTAACTCTGTAACTTTGCACAAGAAACTTCTCTGTCCCTCAGCTTTCTCATCTTAATATGAGTTTATTAATAACAGTACCTGTCTCCTAGGGTGGTTGTATTAAATGAATATGTAAACCCCACAGCTTAGTACTTGGTGTATAGCAAATCTTTAATACACACTGTACTAGCTGTTATCCTTGTTACATAGGAGAACCCTCAAAGCCCTTTCTTAAGCTACATGCTAAGGAAGTCCCAGCATATCCTTCACCTAAATCTCTAAGAGAAAGCTCTTAGACTTCGAACTTTTTGTCTTGTCTCTTGTGTACTATGATTGTTGCCGGTTTTGATCAACCCTAAATGTACAAGACTATATTAGAGATTTCTGAAGTAGCAGAAGCCTCAAGCAGTTAACTTCCTTTGTGGTTAGGAGGGACTAGAACAAATGGTAGATTTGTTGAAACACTGAGTTACTAAATTGCAGGGGAAATGAAGCTGTGAAACTGAGCCAGGACTAAGGTGTGAGTTATAGTTTTAGGACGAAGTAAAATGAATGGTGATCATTTGTTTTTATAAAAAGTCAAGAGAGGTTCATTTTTTTTGTGTCAGCTGTTACTTGATAAAGGCAAGGGAGAAGCACATTCAGACTTACTCTGCAGAAAGGAGTAAAGGGAGTAATGAATGGAAACAGTCTAGGGTGTCCCCTAAATTATGGGAAACCTTTTCAGTGTGAAGTAGTAAAAAAGGAAGTTGTTGATGAGATGCCCCTGTACGTACAAAACATTGCATCACAGGTATAGCCCAAATGTTCTAATAGTCACATCAGAGAGTTGTTACAGAAACATTGCAGAATTCTTTAAAAAGAGTTCTAGAGAAGAAAATCTTCTGATTTTGAAGACATTCAAGGTATTTTGTTACTTGGGATAACATAGGATTGGCCTTTATTCTTCTCTTTTCTAAAAATGTACTTTCTATTTTTGCATCAAACCTCATTTGTTAGGGAGGGGAATCTTTGAAGAAGACTTTGGATATAGTCCTTGAAGGATAGGAAGGATTTTATAAAAAGTCAAGAGAGATTCATTTTTTTGTGTCAGCTGTTAAAACCCTAGTAGCTACAGGAGCCAAGCTTTGATCTTTATGAAGCATTTCACACCTTTCTCTTGTTTAATTGTAGGAGGGAACCTGTATGACAAAATCCTTCGTCAGAAGGACAAGTTGTTTGAGGAAGAGGTAATTCATGCTTCTGTGGAAGGAAGCTAGAATTGTATTGTGATTCTTGCATTCTAGGCCTGTATTTACTCTTCCAACAATGAAGAGTGTTTTTTTCCTTTTGTTCAGACTCCTTCCAGGCTCTGGTTGCTATTCATGAGAAAGGAAACCTCTAACAAGGAAGCTGTCTATAGATGCTTCCTAAACGCTTTACCTCCACATCATGATTCTCTATGGGCTTTCTTTCCCGGTTCTATAACTGCAGACTGGTATGCCCAGTTTTCTATACCTTTGCATTCTTCTTGGATTTCTTTCCACAACTCTGCTTCACCATACTATATTTTATAATGGCATTGGAACTGTTTTATGATGACTTGCTTTTTATTTTTACCCCTTCCACTTTTCTTTGCCTACTCAACCTCCAAGCGAGAGATGTTCAGGTCATGTTGAATCATAACCTCTGATTGTAGCTTCCTTTGTTTGTTTGTTTGTTTTAGTGTGTGTGTCTTTATTTAAGTGGAATTTTTTTTTTCCCATCCAAATATAATTTATTTATTTTTTCTATAGATGGTGGTGTGGTACCTATTTCAGATTGTTTCAGCAGTGAGCTGTATCCATAAAGCTGGAATCCTTCATAGGTAATGAGTGAAAGAATATGGGACGGAGGGGCACCTGGGTGACTCAGTTGGTTAACCGTCCAACTCTTGTTTCAGCTCAGGTCTTGATCTCATGGTCATGAGTTCAAGCCCCGCGTTGGGCTCCATGTTGGGTGTATGTGGGGCCTATGTAAAAAAAAAAAATACAGGATGGATTCCTCCCCACCAATCTAACCCCCACCTTGGGTACCTCCCATCAGCACTATTATATTTTTGGTTAAGCAGGCAAGGCTTTTCCGTTAATATAATTTAGGAAGGAAAGAGTGAGTAATGCCGGGTGTTACCTTCACTTCCTGAAGTTAAATTATGTTTGTGATCTAGGAAGACTCTCAATAGCTAAGTACTGCTCAGTCACTTCTTTAAGAGATGTTTTAGAGTTCAGTTCATTAATTCATCAATAAAGTCTAAAAGCCACTAAGAGAAGTGGTATTAGATTGGTTGGAATTCACAGTTAATGTTTTCTATGACCAATAATAATTGGCAAGTATTTTTGATTTTATAAATGAGTCTTAATTTAGATAAAAAGCTAGTTTGTACAATTAATTTTACAATTTTACCAGCTCTTTGTAGGGCAGAGGGGGAACCTGCTTTCTATTCATTTCTAGCTATAGGAAAGAACTATTAGAACATTTCCACATTATACCCTTCTTAAGTGAGTCATTGATCATTGCTAGAGATTAATATTGATTCACCAGTATTTTTTTGTTGGTGGCTTATTCTTTCAGTTAACATGTGCTTCTCAATAGCTATTGAATGGCTACTAGTTGCATATTATTTTCTTTTCAAAAGTTTCAAAGAGTATTCTGTTTTTTCCACATCTTAAGGAACCCAGAGTGTAAACCAGGCACAGTTCATTTGTGTTACATATGACCAACTCATCTTTAGAAAAATAACCAGTGATTTTATTTAGGTGAGCTAAACAGCCTAGTCATGTTGCTGCTGGGGTGTGAGCCTCTTCCCTCTTCTTAACAGATTTGAAGCTTTAATACCAACCAGTTCAAGACATAAATGGTAATTGAAGAAGCAGTGCACCTTACAGGAATTGTAGGATTACCTGGGGGCACTCTGTTTTCCATCTGGCCCTCTCGGTTTTTCCCAACATCTTCAGTGGTGTGGGAGACATGCTTGTGCTACGAAGCCCTGGAGAATGAAGTTAATTCTCTGACTCCATTCCTCCAAATCCTCTTTTCAATGTTAAAGTACATGGGAAAGTGGTGACCACTGTTTGGGATCCCATAACAGTGTGAACAGGGTAACCACTCAGTTTATTCTGTACTAATTCTGGGCAGAGTCGGGGAAGAAACAAAACAATTGTCTGTAGGAGTTTAATATACAATATTTTTTTTTTCCAGAGATATAAAGACATTAAACATTTTTCTGACTAAGGCAAACCTAATAAAACTTGGAGATTATGGCCTAGCCAAGAAACTTAATTCTGAGTATTCCATGGCTGAGACAGTAAGTATATGTTGCCCTTGTCTTAATTTTTTTTTTCTTTTCCTTTCTAGTACTCTGAGATATAAATGTACACCACTCCACATCTCACACACTTTTCTCAGTATTCTTGCAAGTTCTCCATATTTGTAAAGCAAGTCTTCGGGAGTCTTTTTCCTGTGCTTACTCACAGGCATTCGCATGCTCAGGTATTCTTTTAAGAGTCATTGCCCACATCACAGCTCCGACCTCATAGCCTTTCCATTGCTTTCTAAAAACAGGAAAATGGGGCACCTGGGTGGCTCAGTTGGTCGGGTGTCTGCTTTTGGATCAGGTCCTGGTCTGGGATCGAGTCCCCCATTGGGCTCCCTGCTTGGTGGGGAGTCTGCTTCCCCCTCTCCCTCTGCCCCTCCTCCCTGCTCATTCTCTCTCTCTCTCTCTCTCTCACTCACTCTTGGTCTCTCTCAAAAAAATAAAAATCTTTATTAAAAAAAATAAAAACAGGGAAATGCTCTACCATTTTTTTCTGGTTTAGGATCTTTCATAGATTTCAGTTTAGCTCTTATTTAGTATTTATTTGAGCTTATGATGTTGGACATATCTTTTTGTGTTTCCTCTGAATTTTTCTGGTTCAGCGGCCCTATGTTACAAATAAAGGCTGATGCGCAGAGAACAATCTGATGTTAGTACCATACACCATCTCAACTGCAGGGCTCCCTTCTCACTTGATCCTAAGAAAGACCATTGGTAAAGAGTAGACATAAGTTCCTCTTTAAGGACGGTGATTTCATCCTTCTAGGAATTATAAAACCCAACTATTACTCTTCTGGTTTCATAGTACTCTGTCCTTGAAAGAATTTGATAAGAAAAAAGATTTCTCCCATAGTGGCATCATCTCATAAAAAACTTTTAGTTGTTACCACTATTTGTGGGAAATTTACTTCAGTTATTGAAATATTAATAGAGTTACCTCAGAAATGAAGTTATTCTTTGGTTGTTTTCTTTGTCGTTCAGCTTGTGGGAACTCCGTATTACATGTCTCCAGAGCTCTGCCAAGGAGTAAAATACAATTTCAAGTCTGATATCTGGGCAGTAGGCTGTGTCATTTTTGAACTGCTTACATTAAAGAGAACATTTGATGCTACAGTAAGTTGTATTATCCCCACCTGGTCCTTACAAATGTTATAACTTGGTTGAGAAAATCGAATTCCTTTATCCCTGAGTTTCTGATTTCTTCATCAGAAATCAGCTATAGGCAAACAAACAGACAAAGTATTCAGGCAGTGGCTTGGTGTAGTGTATTATTAAAATGCTGTATACCAGATTTATCTTTAACTTCAGTTCCCCACTGAAATAACGTTACTCAGGTGCTGTGAGCATTGTACTTGAATTTGTTGACTATAATTTTGAAATTGCCTCTAGGATCCACTATGTAATGCTATAGTTTAGATAAGCCATTTCTTTTCTTATGCTTCAGCTACATCATTTTTTTTTTTTAAGCTAAGGCAAATTATGTAATGCTCATTAAGTGTTTTGACCTTTTTTATAAAAAAATTACACACTGACTCTTATATTAGAGGTTGTTACTGTTCAATGGACAACAAATTCCTTTTAGTCTTTTTTCTTTTCTTCCTAAGTAAAGCCCAGTGTAAAGCAGTGCTTCTCCAACTTTCATACACATAGGCACCTTGTGTAGGCCCCCAGGTGTATGAAGGCACCTTTCATACACCTGGGCACCTTGTTAAAATGCAGACTCTTTTTTTCAGTAGGTCTGGAGAGAGTCCCAGTGTTCTGCATTTCTAACAGGCTCCCCCATGATGCTGATGCTGCTAGTCCCTGGACCAATCTGAGTAGCAAAAGTGGATTCACATCCAATGTTCTCTACAAACCATGTGTGAGAACTTTAGAATAGTTTGCAGAATTTCTTTGATCCTCTATTTCATTATCTGTAACAAGGAAAAAAGATGTATCTTTCTCATAGAGATGCTGTGATAATGTATATGAAAGATGCAAATGTAAGAGGATGCAAATTCATTGGCCTTTCATGAGACTTGTTTATTTTTCTAAATCCTTAAGTTTATTCTGGTGGATTATCTGATTCTTCTAAATACTACAGTGGAAGGAAAATGAGTTTTAGAGTCAACACAGACCTTGGGTGGAGTTATGACTCCATTTTTTACTGTCTGCGTAGTCTTGGGCAAGTTACTTTACATCTCTGAATTGGTAATCATAATAACCTCTTTACAGGGGGTTTGTAAGAGTGCCTACCTAGCACACTGTGGTCTCTCAATAAAGTTGTTAATGGTGTTATTATTATAATATTATTATCATTGTCATCTTATTCACTGCCTTTTCTGTTGCAGCAGAGTATCCCCTGCATAACCATTATGAGAATATATAAATTAGGAGGCAGATTACTTGGCAAAGAAGGTACTTAAAGCCAGGAAGCATAGCTAATCTTGTTTTCCTTTTTCTTGGGATTCAGTTGAAGGGTCGGATTCTAATATACTCCAGGTATTATACTATTGACCACATAATCATATCTCTGTGTTGGCCGTTTGGCTTTATTCCTTCTGATTGCAACAGTGTATCTCTAGCCATTTCTTGGTGATGCATACTAATAGTTATGAAAGAAATCAAACCCAATGCAGAACTATTGCCATTTCTTAAAAAAAAAAAAAAAGAAAGAAAAAAGTCACAGACATTTCCGAGGCCCTACTAGTAGATTATAATCTTTATATAACCAAGAATAATCATTTTGTCATAGAATCCACTCAACTTGTGTGTGAAGATTGTACAAGGAATCCGGGCCATGGAAGTTGATTCTAGCCAGTACTCTTTGGAACTGATTCAGATGGTCCATGCGTGCCTTGACCAGGTAAGTGTTACTTACATGTTGATTTCTGTTTAGGGTTTTCCCTTCACACCATAGTGTTTGGAGTATGGTATGCATAGGTGAACTGGCACAAAGACACATTCACTTCTCCAGGGTAGGATATATTTGTGGCTATACCCAGAGGAATAGGCATTGGTAATTCATGATAGTTATTTGTTTCAGGCAACAAATCCTGAAGCTTTATTCTGCTTTATTCTTACCTTATTGATTTGTGAGATGATTTTACCATCTAAGTAGTGCTCTGTTTTTTTAATGATCAGGATTAATTTTCATAGATTAATTTTACAGAATTGTAGTCAGAGATAATTTAGAGTTCCTACGGTGCAGAATATGTGTAGTTGTATAGATAGTAGTGTAGCTCCAGGTTGGTATTATTCAAAATATGGTTCATGAACATAGAGTGTTAGAATTGCTAGGGAGTGGAGGAGTTTTGCAAATAAAAAATGAAGATTCCTGAGTCCCACCCCAGACCAACTGGATCAGAATTTCTGTTGGTAAAGCCCAGAAATCTTTATAACAAGCACTCTGGGAGATTCTTATGTGCTATAGATACTGCAATTTGAGAGGCAGTGCCGTAACTGAACAAGTAAGGAAGGTGCATTCTCATTCATGTGCAGGTGTTGATGATAATAAGATGATATGCATAAAACATGGAATGTGACATGAGAAATTGTTTTTTGAAACAATTTCAAACAATTTCAAAAAGAGGATAATATACAGTGATCTTTGAGTAATTAGCATGCAGCCTTCTAAGAGGAAGTAAAATGCCTCTTTTAGACCCCATTGTGCCGTTTTCCTTTAAATTAAAACTGACCCAGTTTGTACTTTTTAGGATCCTGAGCAGAGACCCACAGCAGATGAACTTCTGGATCGCCCTCTTCTCAGGAAACGCAGGAGGTAAAGTACAGAGACGTCCACTCTGTTGTCCTTCTGTAGATGGTTGACTGTTAAGGCCTGATCAGAGGACCACAGGAGAGGGCAGCATTTCCTGACTAGGCAGCTCTGGTGCCTTTTTCTACCAACATCTTTGCTTTTGCTGCTTGAGAGGAGCTCCTGACTTTCACCTCCTTAGCCTGTGCTGTTTTGTTCTGAATTTACACTGATGAGACCCTAGTGCCCTGTCCTGTCCTCATCTGTGAGTTTTAATCTAGAGTTAGGGCATTGGAGTGTAGTACTTAAGGGGGGAGGGCTCTGCACTCCAACATCCTTAGGTTTGTATCTGAGTTGTGTTACTTTCTTTGCCAACTTATTTTACATCTCTGTTCTTTGGTTTTCTCCTCTATAAAGTCAGATAGGGTAAGGATTAAAGGAGGGAATGCATATAAAGTGCTCAGCCCAGGGCTTGGCACAAGTTGCTCAGCGGTTGTCAGATAGTAGTATGGATAAAGTGGGCCTTTGTTTTTCAGTGCATTCACTTAGATGGTATATTGCAGTGGGAGGAATCTTCTTCAGAATAAACTTGCGTGATTGTTGACATGTTACTTCCTGAGATTTTTTTCTGCGTTAGAGGTCTCTAGAGATAGGAAGGAGGTCCTCTATCCCTCACGTCCTGTAGGAGGCTTCAAACCCAAACTTAAAGGAAGTTGTATTCTTTGTTACTCCTTTTTTTTTTTTTTTTTTAAGTAATCTCTACACTCACTGTGGGGCTTGTACTCACAACCCTGAGATCAAGAGGCGTATTCTCCTCTGACGAGCCAGCCAGCCAGGCACCCCTTTATTATTCTCATCCTACTGTTTTTGTCTTACTGTCCTTTTTCCTCCCCTGCCAGTCCCTTGTTTCTGTATCTTCCCAATATTCAAACCTTTGCTTTGTTCTTTTTTCAAGTCTTGCCCTTAGATACATTAAGTATATATTTAATTCCATAATCTTTGTCATTTGGTCACTACCTTTATTTTGTTGTGCTATTTAATTAATCTTTTCTGGTTCTTCTCCAGTTAAGGTGTAGCGAGTGTTTTAGTGCCTAAAAGTAATACTCTAGAAATAGCCCTCTTACCTTCCACTTATGTCCGATACATGTTCAGCAGGACCACCCTTTGGTGCTGGTTAAGCATATGTAACTCTGTTATCTGACTTTTTTCCCAACAGTATAATCACTATTTTAATTTCTTTTCAAATATTTCCATTGATAATTTTTTTTTAAGATTTTACTTATTTGACTGAGAGATAGAGAGCACAAGCAGGCAGAGCAGTAGGCAGAGGGAGAGGGAGAAGCAGACTCCCTGCTGAGCAGGGAGCCCGATGTGGGGCTCAGTCTCAGGAGCCTGGGATCATGACCTGAGCCAAAGGCAGCCGCTTAACCAACTGAGCCACGCAGGCGCCCTCCATTGATAATTTTTAATTGCAGTTTTTATTGAGATAATTATAGATTTATACACAGTACTTCATTAGAACTTTGTACTTTGATGGAAAAACATAAGAGAGAGGTTTCCGGATAAAGCATAGCAAATGGTGGAAAATATTCAGGAAATACTGAGTCCTACTTGACTAGATTAGTGGTTCTAGACCTGGGGTTCTCAATAGCAACACCTCAAGAGCTTTCAGAAACTACTGGTACCTAAGCATCAGCCCCAGGAATTCAGCTATAAGTGTTTTAGACAGAACAAGAATCCTGGGCTAGAATATTGGGAGTAAATAGAAGGAAAGAAGGCTGGAAAGGTAGTAAGAATCTTGAATGCTAGGCTAAGGGATCTGTCTTTAATTCAAGCTATTGTACAGTAGCGAATGTTTATGAGAGGGTAGTTCATGTGATAAGGGGCATGCCTAAGGAAGACTATTTAGCAAACTAATCTCAGTGTTAAGTCAGTATAGGACTAATAGAGTGGATTGGCAATGTGGGGAGTCAGACCTATTGGGAGGTCCTACTGTAGTCTAGGTGGGAAGCAAAGTTGCCCAGAGCTAACGTGGCAAGCCTGGAGAGGAGAGAGGAATATAAAGGGCGTTGTATTGGTAGAATCTGTAGTACTCAAATATTGAAGAAAGGGAGACAGCTAAGTCAAAGGTTTTAAGCCTAGTCCACTGGGAGAATGGGGAGTGCCCGTTGCAGAAATAGGAGAGTCAGAAAGGCTGTATGGGAGAAAGAGAATGAGCTGAGGTTTAGAGATGCTGGGTGTGGGAAGTCAGGGGGCAGCCTGGATGGAGAGGTCAGCGGGTATTTAAAATGTGCGATAGAGGTACTCTAGTTTCTCTGTTCCAGCTTGAATGCTTCTGGGAGAAAGAAAACAAATGGCCCCAAACTGCTGGCTCTGTCATATCTAATGATTTGTCCAAAGCCAGGCCCGTGTAACTGTTTGAATCGTATCGAGGTACTTTCCCAAAAGTATTGTCGTGTTACAGGAGGCATATGGTTTATAGATGATTAAATCTGTGAAATGTATTAAAGAGACACTGGTACAATGTAGGAACCTATTCTTTCACTCATGTATCTTTGCTTTTCTTTTGGTAGAGAGATGGAGGAAAAAGTCACACTGCTTAATGCACCTACAAAAAGACCAAGGTAATGCCTAGGACACTCGTAAAAAGTGGTATCTCTTAAAATACCATCAGGGGGTCTTTCTTTCTTTGCTCCATGCATTGTTTGATCCCAGTAAGTAGCCGCTGGCATCCTTTGAGAAGCCAACATCTGCGTTAATGTCAGATAGTCATTTCTGAGAAAACAGAAGGCTATAATTTCATCCTCATACTGAAGTGGACATCATTACCATGATGAATGTTGAAAAACTGAAAAGTGTAGGTGTTACGGACCAGACTGGAATCCGATCTGGCTGTGCTATGATGAAGCCCTGAGGCAGGAATTGCAAGGCCTGCGATGATAGAGGGTTGAAATAAGTTGTCGAGAAAGAACATACTGTCTCATGCCATAATTGGCAGTTCTTCTCTGGGAACAGACTGGAAGCATTTTTCTTTGATATAGTTTTTTATGTTAAATGTGCCTTTGTTCTGGGGGTTGTTGACAGGTCAAGCACTGTGACTGAAGCACCCATTGCTGTGGTAACATCACGAACCAGTGAAGTCTATGTTTGGGGTGGTGGAAAATCCACTCCCCAGAAACTGGATGTCATCAAGAGTGGCTGTAGTGCGCGGCAGGTGTGTGCAGGGAATACCCACTTTGCTGTGGTCACAGTGGAGAAGGAACTATACACCTGGGTGGTAAGTGAATGCTAAGTACGTCAGAAGACTGATGTAAGCCTGATTGTTCACTGGGCTTAGGCTGTCTAAGTATTTTGTTAGTTGAACGTGTGCTGCAGGAATGGCAGCATGGGGGTACTGGAATGTAAGCTCTTATGAGAGCAGGGAATTTTGTCTGTTTAGTTCATGGAGGTATCTTTCCCCAGTGCCTGGTACATATTAGATCATTTGTAAATATTTTTTGATGAATGAATGAATGGGAGAAAGGAAAAAAAGAATGAAAAGAGCCCTAGGTTTGGACTCGGGAGACTGGACTCTCATTTACAGCTGGGTGATTTCAGAAAGTCACTTAACCACTCTGTTCTGTTACCATGAGTTTCAGAGCAACCAGTATCTATGAAATAGTTATAAACAAAGGAAGCAGTGTACCATATCAGGAAAATTCCAAGACCTGTATCAGTGATTGAAGATATCTTCAGTAGAATTTTCCTTTGTTCCCCTCTAGATTTCATCCTCTCTCTCACCTTCTGGAAAAATTACCTGTATTTGTTACCTGTTTTCTTATCTCCCACTCACCCCTCATTCACCTACAATGCAGCTTCCATCCCTGCCACTTGATTAAAACTGCTCTTAATAAAATGACCTATAAATTGTGAACATAAAACAGATTCTTTGAGGATGCCTGGGTGGCTCATTCAGTTAAGTGTCGGCCTTCAGCTCGGGTCATGATCGCCGGGTCATGGGATCAAACCCCATGTTGGGCTCCCTGTGGAGAATCTGCTTCTCTCTCCTCCCCTGCCTGCCAGCCCTCTCTTGTGCCCTCTCTCTCTTTCTCTCTCTCTCAAATAAATAAATAAAATCCTTAAAAAAACACAGATACTTTGTTGTCCTGACTTTCTTGACCTCCTCGCAGCATTTGACATAGTTGATCTCTTCCTCCTTTGACCTTTGTCTTCCCTTGACTTTCATGACCGCATCCTCTCTTGGCTTTTCTCCTGTCTTTTTGTGCCTTCTCACTTGTTTCAGGGTGCTTTTCCTTTCCCAGCCTTGTCTTGGGCCCTCAGTTCTTCTCAATCTTCTCCTCTTCCTGAGGGAGCTCATTTTTTTCCAGTAGTCACAGATAACTTCTCCACAAGGACAGGCTTTGTCTCGAGTGTGTACAGTAGATGTTCAGTTAGCGATAGGTTGAAAGAAAGAATGAATGATTTGACCTCTGTTATAGAATATTAACTGTTACTTCCTTAAAACCCTGTCCCTTAAAGAACTAGCCCCTGAGGGGCTGCCACAGATGAATTGAAATTATTGTCCCTTAAAAAACATTTATATAAGGACTTACAGTTGTGTTCTTGAATGAAAAGAATTACTTTTCTCTATAAAACCATTGAAACATCATTTTGAACTATTCTCAGTACTATGTAGCAACCTCTTTGATGCAGCCAGATTGTTTATAATTGTTCTGTATTTCAGGGAAACTATGACCAAAATTTGTAAAACTTCTAGTAAGGATTTCCAAGAGGCTATATTCTAGTAGAAAACAATCAAATTAAACTATATAAAGAATTTTTTTCACTAACACCCATAATTAAATATAAAATTTCACCTTAGACTTGAAGGAGAAGGACAGAATTGGGAATGTAGTCTTTTAAGTCTTGATGGATATCAATCTGGATACTTTTTAAATCTTTACCTGTTGGCAGGGGTTTTCTACTAACCATCATTTAAAGGTTGACTTTCCTTTGATTATTATTATTTTTTTTAATTTCTAAATTTCCAGCTGATTTTTTCCTTTGGATTTGTGATAAGAAGTTATATTGAAGATTAGCTTTTGGCATGAAAAGTTAAAACTTCACAAGACCTCTTTATTTCACAGAATATGCAAGGGGGTACTAAACTCCATGGTCAGCTGGGCCATGGAGACAAAGCCTCCTACCGACAGCCAAAGCATGTGGAAAAGTTGCAAGGCAAAGCTATCCGTCAGGTGTCTTGTGGTGATGATTTCACTGTCTGTGTGACAGGTAAGCCATCAACAGTAAGCATCCCGGCACATTTAATGTGGGGTATCGTACTTAATGCTGTGCAGGTTTAACTGGGATTTTATAGCAAAAGACACTATTCAGAGAACCAAAGACAGTGAACAGATACACACATTAATAAAAACATCCCCAGTTTGCTGTAGTATTAGGGTGGTTGATAAGCAAGGAAAGGCACGTGGAAAACGGAAGAGGTGGGTTCAGGAAAAATATGTTGTATGTTCCAGTTGGGGGGAAAACTAATGTTACCACCTAGTTAGGTATGGATAATATCAAATCAGGAATCAAGAGTTTAAGTTTAGTTAGCTTTTTTTTTTTTAATCCATTTACATTTTTTTTTCCCTCAAATTTTTATTTAAATTCTAGTTAGTTACTATACAGTGCAATGTTGGTCTTAGGAGTAGAGTTAAGTGATGCATCACTTCCATATAACACCCAGTGCTAAAGTTTAGTTTTCATCTTGCCATTACTTACTTTTACTTTTCTCTAGAAAATAGAGATGACCCCAAGAGAATTTCAGCATGGTACTACCACTTTTTAAAAAATTGTTGTAATAGTATCCATGACCCCCTAAATAAAAGCAACTCTAGACTTACACAGTCTGTCCTTCGGATTTCTCTGACGTAGTCATTTCGTATGAGATCCCTCACTGGGACAGTCACATTCTAGCCCTGCCCAGCTTTCTGATTGGACAGAGTCATTCTTTTGATGGTTATGCCTGCCTGCCTTTTGCAGATGAAGGTCAGCTCTATGCCTTTGGATCTGATTATTATGGCTGCATGGGGGTAGACAAGGTTGCTGGGCCCGAAGTGCTAGAACCCATGCAGCTGAACTTCTTCCTGAACAATCCAGTGGAGCAGGTCTCCTGTGGAGATAATCATGTGGTGGTTTTGACACGAAACAAAGAAGTCTATTCTTGGGGCTGTGGCGAATATGGTAGGTGTAGCCTTGTCTCTGTCCACTTATTCCCAGGGGCCAACTTGATTTCAGGCTTGTATGTATCTAAACACATCATGTAGCCTGTACTTGAGAAGTGTTGCTTCAGTAAAAGAATGTTACACAACATTTTCATTGGGACGAAGGACTTCATTTTAATGGTTTTCTTTCTTATGTGTGTCTCAGGACGACTGGGTTTGGATTCAGAAGAGGATTATTATACACCACAAAAGGTAAACTCAGAAGCAGCTTCTTCCTAAAGCTTATCTAGGTCACACAGATTCCACTGATAATGTAGGCTGCTCTTTCCCTGACTCCTTATGTCAAGGTATTTATTTCTGAAATATTTTCTCTCTGGGAGACTGACATTCTAGCACTATGTGGCCTTGTCATCTGACTAAATCATAAACAGTTGAGAAAGAGGATACAGTCACTGTGGACACTCTGGAGTCACATTTTACTCAGGAATGAGAGCTGAAATGAGCACATACCATGAAAAATTCACATCAAGCTAAATACACCCCAGAAGATTCCTTGGGAAGTTACTGGAAAGCAGTATATTACCTCTTTACCCAGTACAGCCATTTTCGCCTCCAGTTTCCACAGTTGAACACCAGAGGAAATACATGTTTGTCGTTAGGGGTCATGTTGTATGAGACATAATACCGAATCACTCTCGGCACTGTGGGAGCTAGCCCTGCTGGAGTTGGCGCAGGCGCTGAGAGCTGCAGGAGGAGCGGGGTCAGCTGGCTGGTCTGCCCACTGGAAGGTTGCCTGTAATTGACTGTACCATTCACTGTTAACTATGTTTATTTACATTCAGGAAATGAGCTTACAGTATTTGTGGAACCATGACTGCTCCTCTTCTGAAAAGGCTGTAGTAGAAACACTGAGGTTTGAGTTTCACAGACAGACCTCCTGTCCCTTTACCATTCCCAGCCCTGTTTAGTTAGCTTAGAGGGATGTGAGCAGTTGGAAGGAAGTCCTGGCTGCTATCTCAGTACTCTGTCACCACACTTAAAATGTGACCAGACTAAGACCCTTGAGGGCTACTGAGTTTCTTCTGTAGCTGTCGTGGGGCCTACCTTCTCAGAGGATAGAATCAGCAATGGGTTGAAGCTTCTCCTTTCCCAGTGTTTTTTGAGATGTCTTTCTAAGTAAGACCTACTACTAAAACAAACATTGACAGGGCTGTCTGTTTAGCCAACCTGGAATTGCCTTCTTTTATTTTATTATCAAACCTGAGCTCCTTGTTGAAAACTATAGTCTTTAAGCCGCTGGGAAAAATCTGAAGAGGAGATAGCAGTCTTTCCTGTGGGCAGTTCTGCTACATGCAAGACATTACTTTTGAAAGAATTTAAGGGTTTTTTTCCCTAAGGCAAGTTACGTTTGGGGATTTTTTTTTTTTTTTTTAATTTCTGATTTTTTTTCCATGCAGGTGGATGTTCCCAAGGCCTTGATTATTGTTGCAGTTCAGTGTGGCTGTGATGGGACATTTCTGCTGACCCAGTCAGGCAAAGTGCTGGCCTGTGGACTCAATGAGTTCAACAAGCTGGGTCTGAATCAGTGCATGTCTGGAATCATCAACCATGAAGTGAGTACCCTCTTTGGTGCCCTAACCACGCTGTCAGAACTTCTCTTAGGTTGGAATTTCTTTGGGAATGCTGTTGGTTAGTGACTGGAATTTTACCTAGAATAAAGTATTTCACAGACATTATTACGTTCAGCAAAAGAAGCCAGCCACGCAAGAGTACACACTATATGATTCCAGTTATATGGAGTTTATGATGGCAGAAGTCAAAGTAGTGGTTACCTCTGGGAAAAGGGGTATGGTTGTTAACAGAATGGATCCTAGGGTCATGGAAGTGGTTTCTATTTTGATCTGGGTGGTTTTACATTTATAGGCATACAGAAAAAAATTTCAAGCTGTACAATATTTTATAGTGTATTATGCCTCAATAAATAAATTGGTTACAAAGAATCGATTGATGGGTCAGGTTCTACCCTATCACTGAATTAGGTACAAGAAAATTAACATGAAAAGAAACATTTTCGGGGCGCCTGGGTGGCTCAGTGGGTTAAGCCGCTACCTTCGGCTCGGGTCGTGATCTCCGCGTCCTGGGATCAAGTCCCACATCGGGCTCTCTGCTCAGCAGGGAGACTGCTTCGCTTCCTCTCTCTCTGCCTGCCTCTCTGCCTACTTGTGATCTGTCTCTGTCAAATAAATAAATAAAATCTTTAAAAAAAAAAAAAAGAAAGAAAAGAAACGTTTTCATGTACCACCTCCCTGGAGAGTTTTTTAAGTTTTATTGCTCCCAAATCACTGATCCTGTGCGGGCTTAGTACATGTAATTACCATTCACTTCCGTGAAGGATGTCATGAAATTCACTGCTGATATTAAGTCTTCATTTTCTCTTTGTGTTAAATGATGAGTTTTTGTCATGTTCTAAAGAACCAAATTAAGAGACGAAGGTTTCCAAGGGCACCTGGCTGGCTCAGTTGGTGGAGCATGTAACTCTGAATCTCAGGGTCATGAGTTCAAGCCCCACATTTGGCATTTTTCCTACTTAAAATAAAAAAAGAGAGACAAAAGTTTCCTGACTCGGTGAATAAGAATTTTCAAGCGGGGTGCCTGGGTGGCTCAGTTGTTAAGTGTCTGACTGTTGGTTTTGGCTTAGGTCATGATCTCAGGGTCCTGAGATTGAGCCCCAAGTTGGGCTTTATGCTCTGCATGGAGTTTGCTTATCCCTCTCCCTCTGCTCCTTCTCCCACTCTGTCTATCTTCTGTTTCTCTCTTTCTCTCATAAATAAAATCTTTAAAAAAAAAAAAAAAGAATTTTTAAGCAATCTCTGAAGTAGTGATTCTCAACTGGGACAGGACAAATTTGGGGCAGGTCTGGGAAGTGTGTCTACATAGTTTGAAAAGGCATATTTAGAAATATCATTGCTTGATTTGGGTTTTTATTGTAACGTTGGATTTGTTGTGAAATTTTAAACTTACATGAGGGGAATATTTTAATGCTAATCTAAAGGGAACATGGGGGCGCCTGGGTGGCTCAGTTGGTTAAACAACCGCCTTCGGCTTGGGTCGTAATCCCAGGGTCCTGGGATCGAGTCCCACATCGGGCTCCCTGCTCACTGGGGAGCCTGCTTCTCCCTCTCCCTCTGCCTGCCACTCTGCCTACTTGTGCTCTCTCTCTCCCTGTCAAATAAATAAATAAATTAAATAAAGGGAACATGGGTTTTAACATGTTGAGAACACTGCCTTGTAGATGAAATTAGATCACAGTAAACTTGTTGCATTATGGGCTGGACAGAGTCAAGATTTTAATTCCTTGCCCTGCATTTAGATATGCAGAGTCTCTAACCAAGAAAAATGTCAATGGCTCTATCCTTGTGTAGAAACTTTCTGTGATACAGAGTTCATTTTTTTTTTTTTTAGATTTTATTTAATTATTTTGTCAGAGAGAGAGAGGGAGAGAGAGCAAGCACAGGCAGACAGAATGGCAGGCAGAGGCAGAGGGAGAAGCAGGCTCCCTGATGAGCAAAGGAGCCCGATGCGGGACTCGATCCCAGGACGCTGGGATCATGACCTGAGCCGAAGGCAGCTGCTTAACCAACTGAGCCACCCAGGCGTCCCCAGAGTTCATGTTTTTTATACTCTTAGATTAGGTATCTAAAACTTCTGTTGTCAGAAAGTCCTGCCTCATACACTAATTAAATTCTCTGATTACATATTGAGCTTATTTTGTATTGTGTTCTATTGGATGTAAAGCTACCTGGCACTTTCTTCTTAACAACAAATTTGCTTAAAAGCCCTTTTGGTCACCATGACAACATTCTCAGCCTACTACCCCTTCATTTTTACCTTTGAGTCTTTGCTTTGTGTTTTACCTTGTTTCAGGCGTACCATGAAGTTCCCTACACAACCTCCTTTACCTTGGCCAAACAGCTGTCCTTTTATAAGATCCGTACAATTGCCCCAGGCAAGACTCACACAGCTGCTATTGATGGTGAGTTGATTTGTAACTTTATACACAGGCTTCAGTCGCTCATGCTCTTTATTTTCTCAAGTGTTAGCTCTTCATTTTTTTTTTTAAGATTTTATTTTTAAAAAAGTAATCTCCATATCCGATGTGGGGCTCGAACCCACATCTCTGAGATTAAGAGTTGCACATTCCACTGACTGAACTAGCCAGGTGTCCCAAGTGTTAGCTTTTCTTACTTAATATTAACATTCTCCTGCTTCCCCCTTCCCCCACATCCAGTGTTATCTCATTAACAAATTAGGCATGCAAGTAAATGGGGTATTTTTTGGTAATCATTATAAATGCAGCCACTACATCCCTTAATGAGAATGCCACGCCTATAAGTCTAGACCACTACTGCCTTTAATTAGTACCACTTAGGAGTTTGCTAAGTTAGGTAGTACCCATTTTCCACATTTAAAATATAGTATTAGAGGGTTGCCTGGGTGGCTCAGTCAGTAAGCGTCTGCCTTCAGCTCAGGTCATGATCCCAGGGTCTTGGGATCAAGTCCCGCATCAGGCTCCTTGCTCAGCGGGGAGCCTGCTTCTCCTTCTGCCTCCTGCTCCCCCTGCTTGTGCTCTTTCTGTCTGACAAATAAATAGAATCTTTTAAAAAATAAAATAAAATACTAGAAAATATGATATTGAGTCACTTCCTGGGTCAAATTGGTCATAGATTTTGATATCCTAGCTGCCATAGGTGCAAGATTGTGAGGCTAGCTTTCTCTTTTATACGCTTAATAACCAGAAGCTAGTCCACGGAACTGTACATTTGCTACATTTTCCCTCTGTTCGGTGCCCCATTTGTGCCTGGTTATTTGTTTTTATTCTCTTTCAGAGCGAGGCCGGCTGCTGACCTTCGGCTGCAACAAGTGTGGACAGCTGGGCGTTGGGAATTACAAGAAGCGTCTGGGAATTAACCTATTGGGAGGACCCCTGGGTGGGAAGCAGGTGATCAGGGTCTCCTGCGGTGACGAGTTTACTATTGCTGCCACTGATGGTGAGTCTGTACATACCATCTCAGGCTTTCTGGACGATGGCTGTATTTTAGTGTTTGACTGGGAAAGAGATGGACTGGTTATTTATATAGCTGGATCATACATTTAATTTACATTAAATCGGTATCCAATTGTTATGCATATGGAGCTGCATTAACTTGTCATGTGTTCAACATAGTGATTGCTTTAACAAAAAAATATTTCTAGATAATGGCAAAGTTAATATTCTAAGTCCCTACTTTTTTTACTTTAACTTCTTTGGTTAAACATTTTAAGAATTATTAAATATTTCTGTGTATGCCTGGCCTTGCACCATGTTGGTTTCACAAAGTGTTGGCTGGGTGGTTGGAGAGAAGGACATAATCTATCCTTGCTCCTTGTCTGGGATCAGCCATACTGCAGTGGTGTCCTCAGGGACTGCTGAGGCTTGAAGGGCTGAATACTGTGTCTTTTGGCTCCCAGAATTGGAACTGGTATAACCGAATTTTCTTCTCTTTCCTCTCATTGCTCTTTCTTCTCCAGAGCATCTTCTTGCTCCTTTCACTGCTCTTCTTCTTTACCACCACTTGAGCTCGTCTTCATTCCTTTTCCTCTCTCTTCTGCTTTCTTTTTTTTCTTTTCTCTTTCCGATATCACCTTCTGAACTTTTTTTTTTAAGATCTTATTTATTTGAAGAGAGAGACCAAGAGAGCACAAGTAGGGGGAGTGGCAGAGGGAGAAGGAGAAGCAGACTGAGCAGGGAGCCTGCTGCAGGGCTTGATCCCAGGACACTGGGATCATGACCTGAGCTGAAGGCAGACCTTAACTGACTGAGCCACTTGCCCCCCCTGCCGCCCCGCAACCCTGCTTCTGAACTTTTTTCGTTATTGTAGCCATTTCTTTCTTGTGACTGGTGAACAACAAGTCACATTTCATCTTCTTGTCTTTTGACTCATTTCAGCTCTTTTAAGGTATCTTTGTTTCCTTTTGGTCTGTGGCTGTTATATACACATGACGGATCTAGACACAGTGTCAGACAAGTTCTCTATTACCAAATTTAGTTGAGTCAGCCAGCTTTTGGGGTGGCATGTAAACCTTTCCCACTTGTCCCAAAATAAGGTCTGATTAAAATGGAAATAAATTTTTGGGGCGCCTGGGTGGCTCAGTGGGTTGAGCCGCTGCCTTCAGCTCGGGTCATGATCTCAGAGTCCTGGGATCGAGCCCCGCATCGGGCTCTCTGCTCGGCAGAGAGCCTGCTTCCTCCTCTCTCTGCCTGCCTCTCTCCCTACTTGTGATCTCTCTGTCAAATAAATAAATAAAATCTTTTAAAAAAAAAATAAATAAATAAAATAAAATGGAAATAAATTTAATGGAGATAAATGGAAATGTTACCTAGAAAGACAGAGTAATAAGAATGTCACTGACGATTAAGTAAGTGCTGCAAGTCCACTAGCACTTCCTGACACGGCCTCGAGGAGGTGATGTTTCTTCATTACATCTGTGTCCTTCAAAAGGTCAACTTCAGAATGAGAAATGTAGAATTGGATTCCATGGTTGGGCATATTACCTCCTAATAAATATTTCTCTACTTCTCTGAATTTACTCTATCATATTATTCACACGGTCAACATAACCCGAGTGCTTACTATGCTCCAGGTCCTCTTTTAGGCTCTGGGAATTTAAAAGGGAGTCTCAGAAAGCACCTAATCCTTAAGGAGCTCACAGTCTAGTAGGGTAGGGGAGACGTTCATATAAACAGACTAGTATAGGCAGATAGATCAGGCACCATTGATATCAGTATCCGATCCCTCTAAACCCTGGAATACCCAGGACTCAATCCTTCTTTCTCTCCACTGTTTCCCTTAGGTGAATATTACCTTAAGTTCCCCCTGTTCACTGATAGCTTCATATCACCACCCTGAACACCAGGTTCAGTCACTCACCAGCCCCTGGACTTAAACGTAGGGTGGCTTTAGAGCTCAGCTTCCCCGGGTCAGTCCTCATTCATGCCTATTGTCTAGGCTTAATCAGTAATAGTACTGCTTTTCATTAAAAAGTGTTCTGATTTGGTAAGAAGTTACAGGCATCTCAGACAAACTTATTATTGTCAAAATCAGACTTCTGATTTTTCTGCCCGAATCTGTTCCTCCTACAGCTTTCCTATGTCACTAAATGGCAGCTTCATTCTATACCCTACATCTCATCCATCAGCAAACCCTCCTGATTATCTTCATAATATATCTGACCCACTTCCCACCATCTTCACTACTAGAACTGGTCTCCTGCTACCACCCTTGGTCCCCTACAATTGATTCTCTTCATGGTGGCCTGATGGGTCATTTTAAGTACCTAAATACTACTCCTCAGAATTTTTTTCTCAAATTGTGTTTATTAGAGAAAGAGAGCATGTGCGTGCAAGAGAGGAGTGTATAAGCAGGGGAGGGGCAAAGGGAGAGGGAGAGGGAGGAGTGTATAAGCAGGGGAGGGGCAAAGGGAGAGGGAGAGGGAGAGAATCTCAGGCAGACTCCACCCTGAGTGCACACAACCTGATGCAGGGCTTGATCTCATGATCCAAAACCAAGAGTCAGATGCTTAACTGACTGAGCCACCCAGGCGCCCCCTACTCCTCAGAACTTCTAATGGATTCCTATCTCAGTCAGTAAAAACCAAAGTCATTACAGTGCGCTGCATGGCCCTACATGACCAGAACCCCATCTACCTCCTGACCCCTTCTCTGTCCACTGTCTTCTCCTTTATTTTGCTCCCGCTGCAGGGGTCTTCATAGTCCTTGTTCATGATACTCATGTTACCCACATAGGACCTTTGCACTTGCTGTTCTCTCTGCCTGGAAAACTCTTCCCCTAGCTATCCATGTGCTCTTTCTCTCTCACTTCAATCAGGTCCCTGTTCAAGTGTCAACAAGTACTTCTCTGACTACCCTATCTAAAATAATGAAACCCCAGTATTATTCTTTATTTCCACTTTTCTTTACCATTTAATTTCCTTCATAACTTTTATGACTACCAGAAGTATTAGATAGTTGATTGATCAGTTTCCTCTGACTAAAATGTCAGTTCCACAAGGGTAGTGACTTCGTTTTGTTTACTGCTCTATTCCTGTACCTCCAGCAGTGCATGTCATGAAGTAGATGCCCAGATATTTATTTATATCTGAATGAATGACCAAAAAAGTTGTTGATTGAGTGGATGGGTAGACGAATGGATGGATGGCAGTACATAGGAGAAGTGGTCATTTTTACCAGGTTGGCATCAGAAATTGTTCAGGTTTATTTAGGGAAATAAACAGCTTTCCCTTGTTTGTACATAGTGGAAAATCTTTCTAACTCTGGGACATAAAGATGGAGAATCCAAAGAGTAGGGAAATTAGTTTTCTATTAAACTATCTGCTGTTTGATTTTTTTTTTTTCCCCTAGATAATCACATTTTTGCCTGGGGCAATGGTGGTAATGGTCGCCTGGCAATGACCCCCACGGAAAGACCACATGGCTCTGATATCTGCACCTCATGGCCTCGGCCTATTTTTGGATCTCTGCATCACGTCCCAGACCTTTCTTGCCATGGCTGGCACACCATTCTCATCGTTGGTAAGGGTTTCATAGTGAGGGTTGGGGTGGATTTGGCAGAGGGTAGACTCACACCTAAGATTCTCGTGGTCACATCCTTAGAAACAGAACTGTCCTGAAGAAAAGAGGCTATTCCTTTAAGTCTTACAACAGTGACAGCATACCTGGTGGTGGGACAGAACACTGTCGCTGCCTGAGCTTTGTTGTTTGCCACCTTCTGACCATTTTTTAACATGATAACTTTGGGCTCTGCCTCCTTTGCTATAGAATTGTTATCTCTAGTTGTCCACCAATTAATTGTTTGTCTGTGTTCATACTGTTGTGAGAAACATGCGGGATACCTTTAAAAAGAAATGAAATCATAACTCTCTCCTGCATAAAGATGACTCTGTTACGGACTAAAAGATTAAAGCCTGCGTGAGGGTCTCCAAGTCCATTCTTTCAGATCAGTGGTTCACAGCCTTGGCTGCACATTAGAATGACCCAAGGAGCTTTCAGAAATCCACTGCCCTGACCAATTAAATCAGAATCTCTGGGGTGGGACCTAGGTGTTGTTCCTATTTAAAGCTTCTCAAGTAATTCCAGAGAACAGTTAAAGTGGAGAATTGCTGTTCTACATAGTGAATATAGTTAGAGTAGCTAGTGGCACTTTAATATCTAGAAAAATAAGTAATCATAAAGTTACCTGGCGTGAGGGATAGCTCTTATCTTGCAGATGAACTCCCTATTCTGGTCTTCTCACTATTCATGCCTCTAGCTCTTTACAGTGCTTACCTACTGAATATTTTTCCTCAGAGAAAGTATTGAATTCTAAGACCATCCGGTCCAACAGCAGCGGCTTATCGATCAGAACTGGTAAGTAGCAATGTCTGGGCACCAGCGCTTTTTCTGCACTGTGGGTCTTTGGGTTGGATTCCATGTAGTCTCCAAAAAAGGGAAATAGGAAGTATCTTTGGGAAATGAGAAATATGGTGATCAGGAGAGAGGATCATATTTTGGTGGATTTCACAATAAGTTACGACTTTTATTACATTGCGGTCAGAGGGAGAGTACATCTTTGCCAAACAGGCATATGGAAGTAATGAAGTGGCTTGCCCAGTACTGTAATGTGGCTTATGTATTGTTCCTTTCCTTACCATGCTAGGGGCTGTGGGTTCCATCTGGTCCTTACTGCTACCATATACATGGGGTTATTCCAGTCTATAGAAATAGTCCTTCAAAACAGGCGCTCAGAATTAAAAGTTGGCTAAACTTCCAGTGTGGCAGCCCAAAACTCTCTGATAGTTTTCCTTTGGCTGCTTTCTGCATGGTTCTCTATTATTTGGGACTACGCCAGAAAACTAAATTTATGTTCCATTTTGGTTTTCCATTTGCTCTAAAATACCTTTGACTCTTTGGTATCTCAGAACCTGGGATTCTGATAGTTTGTAGAATCAAAGCAGATAAAGACCCAGAATAAAAGCAGATTAATTCTCGAAAAAGAGAGTTGCGTGTCTGATCTGGACTTGTATTCTACTTACACACATATATATCATACCTTTTATTAGTTTCCTTTAGTAATCTCTTGCTCAGCATTTATCTGTGCATGTTAGTATCTGTCTCCGATGATACCTTTTTTTGCTAAATGCAACTATTCTTTCATAGCTTTGTTTTGGTGGAACAGTATTTAATGGGAAAATAAAGATTAAAAGCATATATCCATTGGCTAGAAAATGTAAACTCCATAAGGGCAGGGATTTTTGTCTTTTTTATTCATCAGTTTTATCCACATTGCCTCGAAGAGTGCCTGGCAAATGGTGAAGGCTCAATATATATCTGTTGGTTGAGTATGTTCCAGTCGTCCAGTGCAATCTTATAGAAGAGTAGACGTGAACACCTACAAATAGTTCCAGAATGTGAAATGTCAAAAGCAACTTGCAGCAGATTGTGTACCTTTTTATATAAAGTTCAAAAACAACCCAAATTAATTGCTTAAGGATACATAAATACGTGATGGCCTTTTTTTTTTTTTTTAAAGAAATGATAAGTACAGAATTAAATCAGTAGTTAGGTCTAGGTAGGAGGCCAGAGAAGGAAGGCATTCACAAGGCAGATGCGATACAGGTAATATTTTAGTTCTGCACTGTCCGATAAATCTTCCTGCAGCAGTGGAAATATTCTGTGTGCTGTCCAACCCTTGAAAAGTAGCTACTGAAGGAACTGAACTTTTTATTTTATTTAAATTTAAATTGCCGTATATGGCTTGTGACTACCATATTGGAAAGTACAATTCTAGTTCTTCTAGTGCTAGATTCATGTTTTTATTTTGTTAGGTAGCAAAACTTACACATGTGTTAAAAGTAGTCTTATGTATATTTCAATGTAACCAGATTTTTAAAAGCCATTTAAAACAAAACAAGGATCAGTGTGGCAGTTAGTCTGTGAGCCACTAGAGCTGGGGATCAGGAGCAGTCCTTTACGTTCAACTTGAGCATATACCGGGCAATTATTTTTTTAGCTTTGGTAACAACTTTCTTAAATATGTATATCTTTGGCCCATATTTTTTTTATATATACATATATATATACACACACACACAACACACACACATATATATATATTTGGCCCATATTTTGTTTCATTTTCTGACAACACATCAGCTAGTCTTCATTTCATGACAGTAACTTGGAATATGCGGCATGATATGAAAGAACCAGCCATATTTTAAAAATTCTTACAAGTAGTTATCAAAGAACTTTATGAATTGAATGTTAAAGACTTCTCCAGAAAGTTTATCTGGCAGTTTTAAGAGGCGTTTGGCTGAAATGTGAAAGAGCTTTGTATTTCTGTGAAACCTTGATGAGCCGCGGTGGAAATGCCGGAGTCTGGATTATGTATTAAAGCCTGGGTGGTGGACTGAGTGAGCTAGGGCTGGGGCAACTGTTCAGTAATGCTTTCAGATTTGATAATCTGCTATGAACATAGACATAAGTAACTTTGGGATGTAGAAGTGGATTACCATTTTGAAGATACTGATAATACCTTGTGTAAAAGCTAAAAATTTAGTCCCAGATATCTGACCTTAAATTGCTGCTGTTACTTCATGTGACTCTAGGAAGCTCTCCGGGGGTCACCAGGGCTGTAAGATTGTAAATCTTTCTTGCTGCATAGCAAGGTTCTCTCTTTCTGTGCTGTGTATCTGTTAGTGGTTCAGAGCTCTAGCCCAGGAGGCGGCGGCGGTGGGGGAGAAGAGGAGGACAGTCAGCAGGAATCTGAAACTCCCGATCCGAGTGGAGGCTTCCGAGGAACAATGGAAGCAGACCGAGGAATGGAAGGTTTAGTCAGTCCCACGGAGGCCATGGGGATCAGTAGTGGGGCCAGCAGCTCCTGCCCTGGCTGGCTTCGAAAGGTAATTCCTTTGGCAGAGGTTATCTTCAACAAAACATCAGGCCCTTTGCAACAACTTGAAAGGATCTGTCAGCATCTCTCTGTGTTCCATGCCCTATTCAGGCGTTCTACAGCAGGCATCGAGTCGTCTGATTTCCACCTAGAACAAAGTTACCAAATCTCTAATCCTTTTTTTTCTTCCTGACAAGGAGACACACAAAATGTTCTCATATCTGTAGTACTTGACATGAATGTAAGTTAATTAAGAAAACCTTCCTTGAAGGCAGTTTTTGTAATGCATGTATGCAAAGATTAAGCTTAGAGATTTTGTACTATGATTTGTAGAAGTGAGATTTGGGGTCGTCAGGATGTTTTACAGTAGAGAGATGGGTTATGAGAGCTAAAGGGCAGACAATAAAATGTTTGAGTATATTTATTTGGATGGAAAGTTGGTTACAATATATGGCTGGTCAGAAAAAGATGGAATACCTTTGCAGTGGGACCCCATTCTCTTGGAAAATATATAATGCGTAAAAGGATGTCTGCTGGTCCTTTTTCCTGTCTGTACTTTTCTCATTTTCTACAGTGAGCATTTGTACTTTATGAAATTTTAAATTTTTACCAAAAAAAAAAAAAAAAAAAGAGAGAGAGATTTAAAGCTGCCCTTACAAGACAGCTAAGATCGATAGACAGTTAGGGGTAGGAATGGAGGAAGCAGCACAACTCTTCTCAGGTTTCAGCCTCAGCCTTGAGCAGCCTGGCCAGTGGCCTGTCATCACCTTCCAGCTCCCCAACTCACTGAATAGGCCGTGTAGAGTAAGTGTGTCAGGGAGATGTGTCACAAACTCCAAACTGCGTTCTTGAATTTGAGTTTGAATTCGAAGCACTGTTACTCATCTGAGGAAGGCATGGCCTGCTCTTGACAGGTGCGGTGAGCTGTGTTCGAACCCACAACTGTTATGCTCCCACTAGAGGGTGCTGATGTCACAACAGAGGGGAAACTGTAGCAAAATGGGAATGGGGGAGAAAGAAAATAAACGGCTCAAACAGAACTGATGAGATTCTCTCTCTTATACATAGGAGCTGGAAAATGCAGAATTCATCCCCATGCCTGACAGCCCATCTCCCCTAAGTGCAGCTTTTTCAGAATCTGAGAAAGATACCCTGCCCTATGAAGAGCTACAAGGACTCAAAGTGGCGTCTGAAGCGCCTTCGGGACACAAGCCCCCAGCAGGCGCCTGGGTAACTGAGCTTTTTGCCTCTGAGTCACAACTAAGTAGGCAGAGAGCTCTCCCCACTTCTCCTGGCCTCATCATCTCCTCTGGCTTCCTCAGTCTCCCACTGCCCTGTATCCACTCATTAGACGGTCTGTTCGGTAGTGCTTAAAGCCCTAGGCTTAACTGAGTTTGCCTTGGAAAAAAGTATTGACCCTTTCACATTCCTGATGGGCTAACAGCTTTCCACACAGAGGACTGTCTTTCTTTCTCTCTGCCTCAAGTACCAAAATTAAGGTTACATAATTCAAATCTAGTTTGTTTGTTTTTTTTTTAACAATGCTAGTGTGGGTGGGAGGCTCTGAATATGAGTAAGAAATAATGCTTGTAGTCCAGTGAGGGAGCTACACATGTGTGCCTAACCTTGGTAGAAATCAAATTGTGGTAAATGCCTCAGTCAAAGGCAAACCGCAGGGGTCATCAAGCTTTTTCTATAAAGGGCCACAGAGTAATTATTAAAGGCTTTATGGACCATCCAGTCTCTGCTGCAGCTTCTCAGCTCTGACGCTGCAGCACAAAAGCAGCCATAGATAATACATAATGAATGAGCACGATTGTGTTTCAGTAAAACTTCATTTACAGAAACAAATTGGTAGGCCGGATTTGGCCCACGGGCTATCATTTGCTGACCCTTCCTGTAAACAAAGTACAGTAGAAGGGGAGAAATCCAGACTAGAAAAGTTGTAACAAAACCTTTGAAACTTCCAAGTGAGTGTTTAATTCATCTGTCAGTTAGCGTTCTTGAATTATTTTGGCAGTCCTGTTTACCGAATACCTCTCCGCTGTCTCCTAAAGTGTGGTCCACTACATTTTATGGATATTGACCCTTTGGATCACAGTATTCTCACTGTGATCAGAAAGACTCATTCCAAACCAAAGCAGGCCTCCCCCACTTCAGCATTTTCAATGGGAGATCAGTGCACTTTAAATTTTGTGAAATTCTCCAAAACAGACGAATGTTCTTTTACCTTAGCATAACAGAGCCTGAGGCACTGAGCGTTCTTCTGCCCTGTTCTTTTAGAACCAGGTGCTGTTGTAATCCCAGCGCTTTTTGCTCCTGTTGCATTTACTTTGTGTGTCTGTATGGTTTATCTTGTTACTTTAAAAGTAAAATCTGGGGCGCCTGGGTGGCTCAGTGGGTTAAAGCCTCTGCCTTCGGCTCAGGTCATGATCCCAGGGTCCTGGGATTGAGCCCCACATCGGGCTCTCTGCTCAGCAGGGAGCCTGCTTCCTCCTCTCTCTCTGCCTGCCTCTCTGCCTACTTGTGATCTCTGTCTGTCAAATAAATAAATAAAATCTTTAAAAAAAAAAAAAAAGTAAAATCTGCTAGCATTTAGGGGATGATGAGGTTGGGGAGCTGTGGCATCCAGGCAGAACTGCCTATGACCTCTTCCTCCTCTCCTTAGCCGCCTCAGCTGAATCCTGCAGCGACGTGTGCTGGGAAGGCAGCACCATTACCTCCTACCTGTGCCTGCAGCTCTCTGCAGGGGGAGGTTGAGAGATTGCAGGGGCTGGTGTTAAAGTGTCTGGCTGAGCAACAGAAGCTACAGCAAGAAAACCTCCAGATTTTCACCCAACTACAGAAGCTGAACAAGACATTAGAAGGAGGGCAGCAGGTGAGAGCATTCAAAGAATAATTCAATTTCTAATTCTGTTTGAAGAATCACAGAAACAAAACACCAGCAGACACTAACATAGACCTACTCCTTTGCAAGTCCTATCTTTCGATGAGGTAACTTCTGTAATTAATCCCAGCAGCCCTGGGCCTTGTTCGGGTGCCTGGGTTATATCACTGTCATCACCTGACTTCTGTTGCTTTTTGTTACCCTATTTTTTCTTTCAGTTTTTATTATGAAAAACAAATCATTGCAGTTCAGTGAACACTCATATCCACCATCGAAGTTCAACCGTTGTTAACATGTTGTTTGTTTTAAATGTGTGCATGTGTGTTTAAAATATGTGGGGATATATATCTGTATTTAAATTATATGGGGGTATGTGTGTGTGTGTGTGTGTGTGTGAGTATTTAGGTGGACCATTTTCAGATAAAATATAAAAGTCATGACACAGGCCCCCTAAATACTTTCTAACACACACCCCAAAATACGTTCATTCTCCCAGATAAGCACCATAGTATTATCACACATAACACAGTTTATGCTAATATTACCTCAGCTTTCATCCAGTGCCCAGCTGATAGTAGAGTTTTCCCAGTTTGCCCATAAAATTGTCCTTTGTAACTGTTTTGTTTTTGTTTTTGTTTTTAAAGATTCCATTTGTTTGATACACAGAGGTCACCAGTGGGCAGAGAGGCAGGCAGAGAGAGAGGAGGAAGCAGGCCCCCTGCTGAGCAGAGAGCCCGATGTGGGGCTCGATCCCAGGACCCTGAGACCATGACCTGAGCCAAAAGCAGAGGCTTTAACCCACTGAGCCACCCAGGTGCCCCTATAACTCTTTTTATGAGATCAGAATCCATTCAAGGTCCCTCTACTACATTGTTATGTCTCTTGTTTCTTTTTATCTAGAATACTTCCCTGTACTACTGTCACCTTTTTTTTTTTCCTTTAAATTTTCATGGCACTGACGAGTTGAAGAAGCAGGTTCGATTGCTTAACAAAATGAGCCACATTCTGGATTTGTCCTCTGTTTTTTTGGGACATTATCTAACTTGTTCTTTTGTCACCCTGTCATTTCTATAAACTGGAAGTTAAACTTAAGGCTTGATTAGATTTAAGTTAAATATTTTTTTGTAAAAATATTTCCCAGGTGTTGCCGTTTACATTGTTGTTTTAGAGAGAGAGAGCACAAGCAAAGGGGAGAGGGGCAGAGGGAGAATCTCAAGCAGACCCCTTGCTGAGCGCAGAGCCCGTGGATGCTATGCTCCATCCTGTGACCCAAGCCAAAATGAAGAATCTCATGCTTAACCGAATGAGCCACCCAGGAGCTCCATGTGTATTGTTTTTAAAAAGCCAGGTATTGCTCTATTTAGAGTGAACCAGGAAGGGAAATAAGGTGCAACCCTGGGCTTTGCCATTTCCTAGTTTTATGTGTCTGGAAGAATTACGTGGTTTCCATGAGTCCTGGTTTCTCGCCTAAAAGAGGAAAATAATACCATCTGCCTGGTATGGCTGTTTTGAGAATTAAATGAAATCATGTCTGTGAAAGTACTTTGTAAAGTAATACACTCACTTGAGGTAAGCATGGGGTGATTGGCAGCTGTAGCACACAGGAGGATTGTTTGGCTTAGGGCTGTCTCGGTTTTCAAGTTGAGAGATCTAGGGCATCTGGGTGCCTCATTTGATTAAACGTCTGCCTTCGACTCAGGTCATGAGTCCCACATCGGATTCCCTGCTCAGTGGGGAATCTGCTCCTCCCTCTATCCTTCCCCCCTGCTTGTGATCTCTCTCTCTCTCTCTCAAATAAATAAATATTTCAAAAATATAATTAATAAAATAAGTAGAATAAAATAAAATTGAGAGTTCTACATTCCAGAACATCCTACAGTCCTGGGCAAGCAGTTGGTCATCCTACCTGCAGCAGGTGTAAAAGTGTGGACTTTATTTAAAGTAGTGTTACTAAAGTATTATCTAAGGTAGTATCAGGAGCTTGTCACACAACCATGGGTACAGATCCTTAGAGGTCAGTGTTGAAAACCTAGTCCTGAACCGCTGTGACTGGTGGCAGTATCGTTGATGTGGGACTATGTTTTGTTTGGACAGGTGGGGATGCATTCCAAAGGAACTCAGACCGCAAAGGAAGAGATGGAAATGGATCCAAAGCCTGACTTAGATTCAGATTCCTGGTGCCTTCTGGGAACAGACTCCTGTCGACCCAGCCTCTAGTCTCCTGAGCCTGTATGGCCTCCAGGAAACTGGGATCCAAAGAACTTCACAGCACACTCACTGAATGCAGAGCGCGCTTTCCTGGCTTTGTTCACTTGCAGACAAGGAGTGCAAGGCGGAGGCTCTGAAGCACTTTCCGCGTACACTTGGAGAGTGGCATTGCCGATTAGATAGGATCTAGGAGTGGTTTTGTTTTGGAGAATGGAGGGGCCCCATGGCCCTGGCTTTGTCCTCAGTGGCTGCCATAGCAACAGCAGCTCTGTACCTCATCTGGTGATCCCACCTTCGAAGAGGAGACACAATGCTCACCTTAATTTTGCTGGTAGCAGCTTATATCCCATTTATCATTTCACCAGTACTTGGAAGCTGCCTTGGGAGTTCAGCACCAGGCATTGCACCTCTGGGTGGAGGAGGGAAAAGTGTGAAACTCGAGTGGGCTGGAACCAGGTGGGGCCCACACAGGCTCATCTGGAGGGTGGTGAAGTGGTCAAGCCCTCTCCGGAGCCCTGAGTCTGGGAAAATATGTTTGCTGGAGTCAATCTCGGGCTTGTTTTCAGAAAGTTCAGTTACTTAGCGCAGCTAAATGCTTTAAGAGGAAAAGTGGGCTTAGATTGCTTTTCCTCTGAGGGTCGATTAAAATGTCTTCAGTGACGAAGAGAGAAAGAAGGTTAGGGTCCTTCCTCGTCACACAGCTGGGGTTGCCGTCTGTGGCCGATGCAGGTAGGATTCCCTGATTCTGGAAGGTACCTCTTAGAAAATTGAGTCAGTGGGGCAACAGGAATGGCCTTAGAGAAAACCATGAGGGAGAGAGGTCCTCCGTTAGCTGCCTCTACTTGGTATCTTTAGGAAGGACTAGAGTGCCTCTGCCTTCGTGGCTCTTCAGGTCTTATCCCACTCCCTTTCTGTATGTCTAGTCAGTATTAGTCTCTTTTTGGTGTTTTATGAAGCCATATCAGTGAATCTGTATCATCTTTCCTACTTGAGTGGCCCAAAGCCAGACGGAAACCTGGTAGTCCCTGAAGCCTAAGAGAACAGGCGGAAGCTGCCAAGCGAAAGGAATTTGGCTGAGAGCTCCGTTCTAATCCCCTAGTCGTTCTGTCCTTAGAGTCAAGAAGCAAGCTAGCTTTCCCAAAGAGAGAGTGTCCTCAAAGCTCTTGATGGTTTTCACTGAAGGATGTGAGCTTTGTGTTTTCACCTAGGCTTCCAAAATGTTCCTTTAGTATTTTGGGTCATAGGACTTGCCTTGATGAGCCTCCCATCCTCCCTCCTTAGAAACCGCTAAATTAATTTTTGTTTCATTTTCCCCAAACCAAAAAATGAATGTTTGATATCTCTTCGGTATTTTGGAAGGACCTGTGCAATGGAAATTTTGCCATTTCCCTAAAACTGATGGGATAAAGGCTGATGCTTGGGGAACACCCCATGGCTGGGGACGGGCAACTCTGTTCAATGGGATCTTCTTTGGTTTGATGTTCCCATTGTTTTCTCAATTCTGGGAAGCCTAGTACAATGGTACTAACGTAATCACTAAAGCCTTTTCTTAAAGTAAGGGAAGGGGCCAACCCCAGATTAAAGTTACAAGTTCTGGGGACTTCGGGGTTTGCTGTGAACCCCAACAGTGGGTTTTGGTTCATCATGTAAATGCACCTTTGATTTTTTTTTAAGGACTGACTGGCTTTTCACGTTCCTGTATCCCTCATACTCACCATCTCAGCAGGCCTGAGAGGCAGGCTCAGTTTGGGTGTTAATCCTGAGTATTGCTTCTGCTGTGAAACTGAGGAACAGGGGCACGTTGCTGAGACGGGGATGGAAGTGAGCATGGAAGAGAGGGAAGAGCCCTGCTCTTGTTCCAGAGGGAGCCGTTCCCTAGCAGGGGAACACTGCTCATTTTCTCCAACATGTTCCCTCAGGAAGTCTCGTTTGCTGTTGATCTGGCTGAGAATCTGAGTTCTGTGCCTTAGAGACAATTTGCACTTTCCCAATTGTGCCTGGGACAGCCACATGACTTCTCCCACCAAACAGCTATGCAAACAGAAACCAGTTCAAAGGTGGCGGCCATGCATTAGATAAAAACTGAAAGGTTAGGCAGCAGAGATGCCTTTGAATGGTTTTCTGTAGCTAATTCTCTTGAAGTTTGTCCTGCTTTGCTTCTTTCTGCAGCACGAGGTGTTTTCAGTTTCCCAGTAGTATTGCTTTTGAGTTACCGTATAACCTGAGTTACTCCTCCGCTCTGACATTGTTGCTGAAGAACTAGCTCATTGTTAGCCAGATGTTTGAAAGGTTGAGGGTGGAGTGGTTTGGCATTTCTGTTTTAAATAAACATTTAAACTCTCAATCAGTGCTATGCCTGCGCATGGACCTTAGTCACTGGGGATGAAACACCCAGATACGAGGCCTTCGTGAATCTTTGATTCAGTGAGTCTTTCTCTAAATAAATAAAAGACCTTGTAACAGAAACAACACAAGGCACATTTGCACACATAATCTTTGCTTCTTTTCCAGTTTCTTTTTCTTGCTAACAGAATCATCTCTGCTGCTACAACTTTTTTCCCCCAAACTTGTCAAATACAGTGCTTAAAATGCAGAGGGAGGGGAAAAAATGAGCCACTGGAAGAGGAAAGAGCACTTCTTGTACTAACCTCCTCAGTCACAGTGGGCTTTTTCTAGTGATTATGTGTGTCTATGTTTACAAAACTGTTTTCCCTCTGAGAGGGTGAACACTCTTTGGTCTCCCTGGCATAGCACAGCCAAGTTACCCCTTCTCTTGGCTGAGCATTTCACTGAAGTTTAAAGTTAAAAGCAGCCTCAAACTCACATTTCATTTGACTTGCCATATATTTGGAAACATTCATAACAGAAAGAACAACTCTGGAGCAAGGATGTATTATAAATAAATTCTTTCAAATGAGTATCCCTGGGCCTCCAAAGAAGTATTACTCATTAGTGTCCTGCAGACTGGGCTGTAGTCAGGACCACAAAACATGTTCCTTCCTGCCACAAAGCCAAAAATCATTTATAACTTCAGCGATTAACTACGGAAATAAACATGCTGGTCACCAAACCTCACAGAATCAGGAACATGAGAGAGAAAAACACTATATCACATCTCTGCTTCCTCCTTTGTGGTTGTGAAGAATGATAAAATAATGGCCAAAAGCAAATGTTGGCCAAAAGGTACCATGCAGTCTTAAATACACTGTTGTTAAGAAGTACTATTTCAGCACGTCTGCATATACTTTCATATGACATGAGTTTCACCATGAGATATTTTCCCCATTGCTTAACCTTTTAAACTTTAAAATGTATAACATTTGCTTGTACTGAAGCTTCTTGGATAAAGACGCATCACCCATGGACAAGACCAAGCAGCCTTACCCACTGTCATCCTCTGCTGTCCAGGAAGGACAGCTCTTCCCAAAGAGCAGATCAAGCTAAATTTAAAAGATTAATAGATCGCCCTAACCTAATCAAGGCCTGTGCATGCTGAGATTGGAGGGAACACTGAGGAACTATTGCATCACTTCTCCAGCAATAGAAGAACGAGTAACTGCTTCCCGTGTCTGTAGCAGGCACTCCCCACACATACATTTGTTCTCCCCAGAGGGCCCTGATCTGCGAACTTAATCCCATCATCCAGGGATCCCAAACCTGAGTGCCCGTGGGGCCAGGCCGGAAAGGTGACTAGGTGCAGCTGGCCAGGGGGGTTTGGTGATTGGTGTGGTCAGCCCGTCTGAAGGAGCTCTGCAGGGTTGCTGGCCCGGTATTTCCAGAACTTCCAGCTTTTCAAGAGATTCTCCGTAGCCCAGATTCTGAATGTCAGATGTATGTCAAGTCCGTAGGACAAAGCAGTCCCGAGGCTACCACTGTGCGGCTTTGGCAGCATCTCGTTCTCGCCGCCTGCCTTTACCATCAAGTGTGAAGCTTCGTCTGTACTTCACTAGACTTGCCTGGGGAATGTATCTATTGGGTTAAATATCCAGTCTGTGTGTGAGGTTTCGTCAAATGGCCAGCCGAAGGCCCCGCTCTGGGATCCCTCTTTTTCTTCGCAAAAATTTAGAAGCATAAAGTAATTCATTATGTTGTGTTTTCTAAGTATGTACATTTTTTTCAGGCTGGGGTCCTTATTGGTTTGATCTGTTAGCCCAGCCGTTCAGCAGAAGCTGCAGAGGAAAAGCTGTAGCAACAGGTCCTTTGTTGTTAGCAGATTATGGTTTTACTGTCTGCTTAGTCACCTGGGCCCCTGTCAGGTTGGGTGTTTTTTCTGCAGTATTTTAAACTAACAATTTGAGTGTTGCTCTCAGTACAATAATCCTGTTATTTCAGATCTGTTCTATCTTCATCCTGTCTGAACTGATACTACCCCTGACAGACATTACCTTATCACTTCTCCCATCTGACCTATCTAGGACTTATTTTATCATTTAATTTTAAATCCCCAAAACCCACTGAAAGAAGGTCTAATTGTGAAGACTACGTGCAGTACGCACAATGCTGCACAGAAAAACTTTAAAAAGATCCAGTATCTTTTTCCTCAGAGTTTACTTTCTAAAAGACAAGTTCGCTGTGGTAAAATGGGCAGGGACAGGTGACTTGGCAATGTCCCAGCTTGCTTTGATGCTAGACATTGCTGCTGCGTTTAAAAAGCCATATACCCAACCTGATCTCAAAGCAGAATGCCAGCAAGAGCTGAAACTGAAGTTCCTTCCTTCCTTTTTTTTTTTTTGGACATATGTAGTCCATTAGCAAAGAGCAACTCCTGGGGCATACGGGATGCTCTCTCCCAGCCCTACCACGCAAGGCACAGAAAGATGAGGTTCCCTTTATGGCACAGTACGCCACGAGGAGGGTTTAGGATATACTGGCACTCTATCTTTACAAACTCGTATTGGCTTTCGGCCAGGACCACGCATCGCGGAGGTCAAGGATAATTTTCCATTTGCCTTACAGCAAAATCATACTATCTTTTGTAAGCGCTGCCACCGGGGGGATCATGATCCTCTGACACCAGCTCAATCTCATGTAGCAGCTTGAGATTCTTTTAGAATTCTCCTGCAGGAGCAAGAAGAGTTAACAGGAACCACAGGCACACGCGCAGAGGCAGGGGCAGGAAGGCACAGCGGACGCAGGCACTCAGCACAAACCACACACCCGCCTCGCGAGAAGAGAACTTTACTGTGGGCCGCTCGCTACATTGAGAGTCTTTGTCCATCCGTTCCCAGGCCAGTAACAAGGCGCACCAGCCTGAGGTGGTAATTTCGTGGGAAGCTGAGGTTTCCTTTAGCCTCCTGCTGCTTAGCGATGGGGCTCCCCTCACTGATGTAAGCTGTGCAGGCAGATCTGAGAGATGTGGAAGTTTTAGTTCTGTTTTGCATCAAACTGTTCTACTCCCACTAACTGCTGACGAGAGCAGAGCCTTCTGCGGCTCCCACTGCCGTCTGCTCAACCGTAATGCTTCCTTGGAGGTGGAGGCCGGTTCTTAATGGTCTTACACTTGGGAATGTGCCGCTCGGCCACCTTGGGAGCAAAGTGGCGGCTGCAGTGAGGACACTGAATATAATCTGGATTTTCTGCAGGCAGGATGGGAGGCAAGTCTGCGGGGTTTCCACCTTTGGCAATTACCTGCTGGACCTCTCGGGCCTGACGGAGCGTACGGATGAAGGACTCGTGCTTCTGTCTCCAGTTGCTCTTCCGAGGAGGTTCAGCCTGTAAGGGGGAGGAAGACGGGTCATTCAACTTGCCGTTTACCACATCCCCTTCCCAGTCTTCATCGGAATGACAGTAAGGAAATGTACAGGGTGTTTATCCATCAGATCAGAGAGAACAGGAAAGGAGCAACAGAGCTGACTTGCCAGAGTGGAGGCACTTGAGCTAAGGGCCTGCCACGGGGGATAGCACTGAGAGGCTGGGTGCTCATTGCAAAGGCAGTGGAGAGGGAGAGGTACAGGGCCGGGAATAAACTGGGTGCCTGGGCCCCTCTCCCATCTTGCACACCCAAGTGTCGGTCACTTTGAGCACTCTCACGGGAGAACAGGGGTTTGTCCTCTGGAGAAACCGAACCAGACAGGTTTCAGACTCGGGAAGTCCAGGCATAGTAGAGAACAGGGTAATACTGAGGCTGAAAATTGGGATTAAGTGCAGGTATATGTGATGAATTATGGCACTGTCGGCCTCCTTCCCCCATACAGCTCCCAGGATATCAAACACGTTGGCACCCTCATAGGAGACAGGAGTTCTCTGCGTGCACCAAGCAGTCAAGAGAAAAGCCTTTAGATGCCGACCCTGAGTGACTCCAGTGAAAAGGCTCACTGTTTGATAACCCTAATATGAAGGCCTCCAGTCAACAAGCCCCACTTCAGGGCGCCTGAGTGGCTCAGTCGGTTAAGCGTCTGCCTTGGGCTCAGATCAGGTCCTGATCAGGTCCCAGGTCCTCAGATCAGTCCCACATCAGGCTCTCCACTCAGAGGGGAATGGGCTTCTCTCTCTGCCCCTCCTCCCTCCCTCCCTCCCTCCCTCTCTCACAAAAATAAATAAAATCTTAAAAAAAAAAAAAAGTACTACCTTAAAACAATAACAACAACGAAAACAAGCCCCACTTAAGCTTAAATAGGAATGGACTGCCTGGGATAACCAGATATTTGAATAAAGTTCTAACGAGAGAAACCAAAACAGGTACATGTATTCTCTCACTCACTCTCAGGAAACAAGAATGAGGGAGGTAAAAGAAAACTTAAAGCCAGAGAACCAGAAAGAACTATTATAAATAAAAACTGTGATAGCTAAGAGGTGCCTGGGTGGCTCAGTCAGTTGAGCATCCGACTCTTAATTTCAGCTCAGGTCATGATCTCGGGGTCATGGGATTGAACCCCGGGTTGGGCTCTGCACTCAGTGCGGAGTATGCTCATTTCTCTCCCTCTGCTCCTCCCCCTGATCACTTGCTCTCGCTCTTTCTCTCTCAAATAAATACATAAAAATCTTTATTTTAAAAAAGACCATTTAGGGCACCTGGGTGGCTCAGTAGCTTAAGCCTCTGCCTTCGGCTCAGGTCATGGTCTCAGGGTCCTGGGATCGAGCCCCACATCAGGCTCTCTGCTCAGCAGGGGGCCTGCTTCCCCCTCTCTCTCTGCCTGCCTCTCTGCCTACTTGTGATCTCTCTCTCTGTCAAATAAGTAAAATCCTTTTTTTTAAAGATCGCTTTAAAAAATGGTGATAGCTAAAAATAAAAATAGGTGGGCGCCTGGGTGGCTCAGTGGGTTAAGCCGCTGCCTTCAGCTCAGGTCATGATCTCAGGGTCCTGGGATCGAGTCCCGCATCGGGTTCTCTGCTCGGCAGAGATCCTGCTTCCCTCTCTCTCTCTCTCTGCCTCTTCCCTCTCCCTCTACTTGTGATCTCTCTCTGTCAAATAAATAAATAAAATCTTAAAAAAAAAATAAAAATAAAAATAAAAATAAAAATAAAAATGTAAAATATCAAGAAAATTGCTCAGAATGGGAAAAAAGATCCAGATGGAAAGTAGGAAAGATTAGGAAATTAGTAAACCAATCTAGAAAGTCCAACACCTGACCAAAAGGAGTTCCAAAAAGAATAGAAAAATCACACAGAAGATATTATTAAATAAGTAATACAATAAGCATTCCTAGAATTAAGGTCACTGCTCTTGAAATTGAAATTATCTACCAAGTAGCCAACACAATCATTGTAGAATTTCAGAAGAGAGAATCCTGTAGGCTTTCAGAAAAAGAGAAACACCAGAAGAGGTTTCATATAGTGGAGCAGGAAGCAATATGGCATAGATTTCTCAACGGTAACATTGGATGCTAAAAGGGAAAATGCCTTAAAAGTTCTAAAAGAAAATCATTTTCTACCTAGAATTCTGTACCTAGTCAAATCATCTATCAAATATAAGGCTATTGTACGGATATTTTAATTCATTCTGAGACATATCTGTACTATATATATATATGTATATATATATATGTATATATATATGTATATAATTTATTCTGAGACATATCTGTACTATATATATATATATACATATATATGTATATATATGTATATATATATATCGCCCATGCATGTTTCTTGAAAGCTTCAGCAAAGCAAGGAGTAAAGCAAGAAAAAGGACATAAGAGGCTGGAAACAGGACCCAACACAGAGGAGGAGCAAAAAGAAGTCCCAAAACAACAGGTTTGCACCAGGCCTAGAGAATAACCAGTCCAGACTGGTGCAGGAGGAAAAAGAGTGGTGGGAGGGAAGTTTCCAGAATAAGGAAAAAAAAAAAAAACTGACGGATTAGGTGTTTGAGCATTTACAAAAACACTAACAGGTGTCTGACATCAGCTGGATCATTTAGGAAAAAAAAAATTAGAGACAGGTACGAAGGAAACCCAAGCAAATGAAAACATGAGTCAGCTATTAATTCCAGGTTCATGTGGGCAGAGGCAGAATTTATACACTCGTCAGTAAACAAAATTTACATGGTTATTATAATGTAAAAGCTGACTACTGGTTTAACCCAAAATTGTGATTCCACCATGATGGAAGGAGAAGGGAAGAAGAAAAGTAAAAAGGAGAGGAGATGTGAAAGCTTAACCCGCAGCATTCACAGGAGGAAGTCAAAAGATAGTGTGCAAAACTGATTAATCAAGAAAATAGGCACATTGTTGAGAAATATGGAAATGCATACCAGAAGAGTCATCTATCAGGAACTGAAGGCTGCCACCGGGGGCCATTAAGATGAAGAAGGGTAAGGCAGGATCCTGCTTGTTGCCTTAGAGATCACTTAGCACATGATTTTTAAAATGTATTCAAATATTTAAATTAATATAAAATTAATTTTAAAAAGACGAAAAAAGGAGACAAGTGGCTATTTGGTGATCTGATATTATTAGTGATGAATGACAGGAAGAGATATTAACAAAGGAAAAGGATCCTTCAGGAGAGAGCCTTACTGAAACAGACAAGAAGGCAAGAGAATCTGTGTTAGAAATAGTATCCAGGAACTTTTAAAAGAATTGGGGAGGAGCACCTGGGTGGCTCAGTTGTTAAGCATCTGCCTTCAGCTCAGGTCATAATCCCAGGGTCTTGGGATAGAGTCCCACGTCAGGCTCCCTGCTCAGCGGGAAGCCTGCTTCTCGATCTCCCACTCCCCCTGCTTCTCGATCTCCCACTCCCCCTGCTTGTGTTCCCTCTCTCGCTGTGTCTTCTATCAAATAAATAAATAAAATCATTTAAAAAAAAAGAATTGGGGAAAGTTCCTCAAGTATATATGATAGTTCATCGTATTAAATTAACTATTAATTCATCATATTCATGATATTGAAATTTTAATTCAATTAACACTTATTTTTCACAAAGCACAAAGATGTGGTTCCTGTGCTCAAATACTTAAGGTCCAGTGGAGAGACCAGAGCTACGAGTCTGCTGGAAGTTCTGTGAAAATTAAAGGATACAAGGAAAGTCACTTGTTCTTGTGAGTACAGTAGAGGAATAACAGGGAGACATTCAGCTTCCAAAGGCACAAAGCTTTGGAATAAGACTAAGAACATTCCAAGGGATGTTAGTGCATCTCAATCCAGATCCTTTCTGCTTCGGTATCCTCGATGCATCATATCCCCGCCCCACCACAAAACTAGTTTCCACAAAGCTGGAGTGTCTGATCTCAGAAATCCAATTATTTTGCTTCACTGCTACTGTATTTAGGAATTTAAGAAACACAAGATTCTTTTCAGGCATCTGCCAGAAACTGCCCCTATAGTGGGACAGAGAAGACCCCAGTAGATTATTGGGTTGTCCGGAAAGAAGACAGGAAAGAACAGGAACTGGTGATCCTATCATTCTCTGCAAGAGCAAAATGTTGAATTCTTATTGGAAACTGGACTTCAGGTAGATTATCTCTGAACACAGAGGGACTTTTTGTGGCAATCTTCCAAACTATACTGAAGTTATACTATAACTGCAATTGACTTCTCCTAACAGCTGCTACAAAAATTTGAGTTTTTTAAAGGCCCCAGCAAGTATGCCTGCCCATAAACTGTAAAGTGCTTAGCAGGTAAGAGGTGCTAATGCAGCACAGGGAGGGTTGGAAAGAACTGAAAACAGAATATGCTGTCATATTTTGTTAGAAAATTACAGCTGGTTGGGGCTTTGAGATCACGTGGTCTAGGCTTTCCCAAACTTTGGTCATCTGCATACCACTTTCACTTTATCCCCCTTACCATAAGTTACTTAATGTTTTTCTTTACGTTCATGATTCCTAGAAACCACAGGCTTCATATGTTGTTATATTTTTCTAATACACACTAAAACTATTAAAATAAAAAATGGTTGCCAGCATGCCCCACCTTGAGAAACACTCATTTACAGACCAAGGGGCATAACATCGACAGAGTGGTAGATTTATTCGTGAGACACAGATCTAACTGTCCAAATAACACCTGTAAAATACCCCTAAACTTACCAGGCAAGTGTCTCACAGTCTTTTTACAACCCAGTTTTTCTGCAGCGGGAATGTTAACCAAAAATAAACTCCTTCACCTTTAAGGTGTTTAGACTCCAGATGGGGAGAGAAAGGATTGAAAACTTAATTGTGTTTCATGTATTTACTAAGAAGTATATCAAAACTGAGCTAATCTTGAGAAAGTAGAGACCATTATAGGAGTTGTAACAAATCCTAATCGTGGAAGGTGGCAGAGTATATTACAAAGAGCAAGGAACTCTCTTCCGGGCGTGAAGTGCTGCATCATTTTTCTCTATATATTTTTCAAATCTTTTAAATTTTCTAAACATTTATTAACTTTCATAATCAATAGGACATATATTTTTTAAGTCTAGATTTTGCAGTCATTCTGACCCAAATTTATATGCTGACTCCGCCATTTATTTATTTATTTTTTAAAGATTTATTTACTTATTTTAGAGAGTGTGTGCACAACCAGGGAGAGGGGCAGAGGGAAAGAGAGAACCCTCAAACTCCCCACTGAGCACAGAGCCTGATGCGGAGCTGGGGCCAGATGCGGGAGCCCAAAGTGGGGCTTGGGGGGCTTGATTCCAGGACCCTAAGATCATGACCTGAGCCAAAATGAAGAGTTGATGCTTAACTAACACTTCACGGACTGAGCCACCCAGGCACCCCATATGTGCTGACTCGGCCATTTATTATTATTTTTTAAAGATTTTATATATTTATTTGACAGAGAGAGACACAGCGAGAGAGGGAACACAAGCAAGGGGAGTGGGAGAGGAAGAAGCAGGCTTCCCGCCGAGCAAGGAGCCGGATCCCAGGACCCCAGGATCATGACCTGAGCCAAAGGCAGACGCTTAACGACTAAGCCACTCAGGCGCCCCAGCTCTGCCATTTAAAGCTGTTTGTGATCTCAAGCAAGTTAAACTCTCTGAGACTTGACTTTTGAATTGATAAAATAAGAGACAACGAAACCTTTCACAGGATTCTGGTGAGGATCTTAACGAAAAGCTCCCATCACAGTGACTGGCACACAGTAGTAATCAATAAATGTTAATTCTCACTTTCTCCCTGTATGACACATGAATTTTTTCTAAAGAAAACTGCTATGACATCCCTTTACAATGATCCCCACTCAAAGTCAAATCCATAAGGCCCTGGCCTTGTTACCTTGACTGAGGCCGATCCCTTCCAGTTCAAGTACTGCTCTAGTTCTGTGCCCTTGGCCCGGGCCCTGGAGGAGTCAAACACTTTCCTCTTGGAACCCTGCATCCTGCTGCAGACGTTGGAGTGTCTCTCCAGCCTGAGCAAGAGAAACTTGCGTCCGCAGTGGCTACATTCGCCAAGTTCGGGCTCTTCAGTGGAACAGCTGGGAAGCGAGGAGTCTGGGGCCCTAGACAAACTCGGATTGCTGGCGGACCCCTGCCAAGCACTGCCAAGCCCTTCTGAAGACTGAGAACACTCTTTTGATGGCTCTGAGACTAGGTCTCGGATTTTGTTATTGCTAGCCACCAGTCTTTCCCTTTTGAGTTTCTGTATTCCATAGTCAGAGAGCTGAAATGGACTAGAATTTTCTTGAGACCGTCCCCAGATTTCATCCTCTCCCTTGGCTCTACTGAAGACCTCCTCAGACCCGAATTCTGGGGAGAAGGCAGGTCTGTATGCGGTGCTGCTATTACCTTTAACGCTCCTCCTGGGGAGTGTCATTCTCTGTAGCTCTCTTTTTTCATTTTCCTTAGCCTGTTCCTTTTCTTTCTGGATCCTTCTGAGTTCCTCCTCTGTCTTCTTCAGCTTTTCCCTTAGGAGGGTCTCTTTTCTTCGGATTTCCTCCTGTAAGCTCTCCCCTACAGCTTCTAGTCTTTGGATCCGCACCCATTCAGTTCTGTTGGGGTTTGGCATGGCCCTCTCCTCCTGTGTGGCAGCAACAGCACGAACCACAGATGAATGCACCCAGTTCCTTGAACCAAAGCTGCTGTACGGAAACTCTCTTGGCTCAGGGGGTCTTGGAGAAGCATTCTGGTCCCCATCAATGCCAGCCTCCCCAGTACTATGAGACTTCCTATGGAACACGGGTTTCAGTGGGTATGCCCGGTCTACCCCAACTCGCTTCTTTGTGAAGGAGATGAATTCCTGATTATCTGTTTTGGGATACCGGGACTGAGGACTTGATGAGTAAAATAAACCCTTTGCTTGGCCCTGGGGATTGCTTCTTAAATCTTGCTGGCTGATTCCAACACAGTGGGGATAGGAGCAGTTCCGGACTTTCGTGCAGGTGTTCCATTTGGAGTGAGTGTAGATATTATCCAGTGTCAACTCTTTGTTGCTCAAAAGTTTCTGCTGGAAATTGTTCCTCGGGTGCCCGATGGAGGACCGCTGAGAAGAGTCACCTTTTTCACAGGGCTCTTGCTTAGTGGAGAGAAGCCCTGGAGCTTCTGTCTTATTATATGGAAGCATAACGCCCACAGGCAGAGATGGTGCCAACTGGAGGCCAGCCATTCAGGGACTGGACTGAAGCCTAGGGGAGATTTAAGCCAGATATATGTGAGGAATTTGTCTGAGGTTCCTCCCCGCTGCTAAAGTAAAAGTGTTTCTCCATGTGTCCTACCTACCTATTCTCTTGAACTTTTTAGGGACAGAAGTGCTGGGTCTGACAGAGCTTTCCTTCAATAAGCATTTGGTGAATGCTCATTATTTCCTGTGGGTGCTTATTAGGTCCTGGAGGATAGAAAAACGAATGTGACACGGGTGTTCCTGCCACCTAGCTTTAATCCAGTACCAGCCTCTGCCATTCACAGTGATGCTCCTGCCATACACAGGACACTCCCTAGTTGGGGGGAAGATTTACTGGGAAGAGCTACTGGATCGAAAATCAGGTTTTAGGCCTGTGACACAGGACAAGCAACTTTCCATTGCTGTCTCGTTTCTTCACCGGTAAACTGAAGTTCCGCTCGGAGTTACATGACTGGCATTTAGGGACCTTAGGACTCTGAGTCCAGCTCTATTGTTTCACAGGTGAGCACACTGCGGCCCAGAGGTCAGGGCCTGGCACAAAGAGCTCTCCAGCGTCCCTCCTGCTGGAAGCGTGCCTGACTCCAAAGAACCAGAGGTTGCCCAGGCCGGCAGCAGGTGCCTGATGTCAAACCCTCCCCCGACAAGTCCCCGCGGCGCGGACTACGAAAGGTCTGTAAGCTGAGACGTGGAGGCCACCTGGCCTGGCCGCCGCAGCTTTTAGATCCGGAACGCTGAAGTCACGCACCGTCCTAAAGGGTCAGCCGGGGCGCCCCCACTGGGGACTCCGCTTTGAGAACAAGCCCTCGCTCTTCTATCCATGGGGCCCTGGGGAGGTCGAGGTGCTGACCCCATGTCTGCCCTCCCCTTCCGCGTACCTGAGGCTCTGGAGGACCGTTCCTGCTCAGGGAAAACCCCAGCACTTAGCTTTCCAGACCAGACCAACCCCATGCCAACCACTCGCCGCGCAGGCGCTCTCTGAGGGCCTCTGTTTTTCTCGTTGCCTAGAGACGCAGCGCGTGCGCGCCCAGCCCCTTCACCAGCCGCGAACGCCGCCCGTGAAGCGCGCGCAGGCGCAGGCCGCACGCGGTCCGGAGGCGCCCGCGAGGGGGGTGTGGTCAGTTTGAGTGTCACTTGACCCCGTGTCCCGCCGACTCTGTAGCTCGGTCCCGCCCTGCCCCTGGGGAACGGGAGAGGGGGTGGGAGAGGCTTTCTGGGGCTGCATCAAAGAACTTGTATTTTTCTGAGAACGATGCTCCCAGACCCTGGGGTGTGCCCTTCTCTGGCAAAAGTCGGAGCCCCTAGATGTGCCTCGGGGTCATCCTGCCGCCGGATTCCGGTGTCCGCCCGCTTAGCGGGAGTGGGCCTGCTGATAGCCTTTCTTAGCTCGCTCGGCTGCTTGGTACGGGCCCCAGGTATGGCTGTCCCTCCCTGCTTTTTCCTAGCCAATAGTTTGGAGCTTGTGGTCAGATTTTAGCAACTTGGCTGGGTTTTGCTACTCAGTATCTTTCCGAAGTAGTTTTTGTAGCCAATCTAATTATTTTGATACAGTGTTTTTCTCTCACGTGATAACTCTGGCCGTCTCTTCGTGGGGCCCAAGAGTGACTCAGCCAAGTGTAATGATAATAAAGTTAACTACTAGATTGAAAATAATCAGTATAACCTGGTTTCAACACGAAATAATATTCTATAAATTGTAAACATTAGAAGAGAGCTTATTTGTCTTCATGCTTTAATTCACTTGTGTAAGCTTTTTGGAACAGGCGGTTTACTTTTTTTCCTGTAACTACCCAGAAGATTCATGCACATGGGAAATAAAGTGGACAGCAGTAGTCAGTGTTAATGCTTCAACATGTCATTATTACAGTTTTACATGTTACAGAGAAATTCCTTGGTGGGCCCTCCAGGGCAGTCCTTTCATTCCTTGTTTTCTTTCCCAGCTGACTCTACTGCCTTCTCTATATACCCACAACTCTCAAGGTCCTAATTATCTCAGCATCTGGCGGGCCTGTCATCAGCTCCCGCAGCTCCCCTCCAGTCTGGCTGAATTTCCCAGAATGCCTCACTCCATCTTGAATTCCTTCCCTCTTGTGTCTGATGAAAAGGAGCCTCTCTCTTTCCAGGAGTTCTGTTGAATTAGTCCCTTTCCATACCCCCCAGGAATTCACTCCATCACTTTATCCCTCCATCTTGTTCACTTCAAGCTGCATCTATCCACACACTCCTTCTCTTTGGTTTTAAAATATGTTTACCTTTCCCCTGCAAAACGAATTTTATTTCCTGTGACCTGCTGCCTCTCATCTTAGGGTCCCATTTATTTCTCCTCTTCCCCGCAAGCTTTCCTAATAGATAGTTGTGCATTTGTGGCCCCCGTTCTCTCATCTGCTCCTCAGAGTCCCATCCATTGTGGTCTGGCTTCCACCTCTTCCATTTTATTTAACTGCCAGGCTGTTGATGGCTTCCCAATGGCCAGAAACAAAAGCTGCTATTTCTTTAGCCTACTCATTTGCCATCATTGATTTTCCACTCCTGTGGAACTCCCTTTCTCCTGCTCTCTTGTGCCTTCTTGGTTTCTTCTTTAATGTTTTTGCTCCATCATCTTCCAAGTCTTGGGCATTTATGTCTTTTCCTCACCTGCCCACCAAATTTAGGTGTTCTCAACAGCCCTCTTATTTCTCATATACACACAGTCCCAGACATTCTCTTCCTTAACAGTTTCAACCAAAAGCTGAAATTTCAGGTCTCTCCTATGTTTAAATGATACTCAGCTTGGGGCTCTCTCCCTAGTTACAGACTCAAATTTCTGGCTGCCTATTTGGCACCTCCACCAGAATGTTCCTCAGGAACCTCAGACTCAGTATGACAGAAGACAAATTCATGATCATCTCCCCCCAAAAGTTTTTATTTATTTATATGAGAGAGAGCAGCACAAGTGGGTGGACAGGCAGAGGCAGAGGGAGAAACAGATTCCGCACTGGGCAGGGAGCCTGCTGTGGGGCTCAGGGCTCGATCCCAGGACCCTCGGATCATGACCCAAGCCAAAGGCAGATGCCCAACCAACTGAACCACCCAAGTGCCCCTTGTCTGGTGTTCCCTTTCATGCTGAAAGCATCAGTCATCTTGCACTCATCCCTCTCTTTGTCACCCCTTCAGTCTAATTAGTGAGCAGGCGCTCTTCAATGTACTTTGCAATGTCTCATATATGACTGGTCCTTTGCATTGCTACTGCCCTTGGTGAGGTCTTCCTCACTTTTCTCACTCTCCTAACTGCTATTCTTGCCTTCGACATCTACTCCCCGAGCTCATTTTTTATGCTGCTGCCAGAGTAATTATCTTAAATACCTCTGAACCCATCATTCTCCTACCCAGGGGCTTCTTCTTTACCGATACCTTCTTTACTTTTACCTTTCAAGTTGAAACACATAATTTAACATGGTATTTCAATCTGCCAGATCAGATCCAGCCTGCCTTTCCAGCCCTGCCTCCCTCCCTAGAGTCTAACCCAGTGGATATCAACCCTGGCTGAGCTTTAGAACTCCCTGGAAAGCAACTTCTGGGGGTGAGATCTGGGCATTGGTATTTTAAAAGTTTGCAGCCAGGGTTGAGAACCCTTGGTCTAGCCACACCTGACTACTTGCACTTCCTCTCTTTCTTTCTTTCTTTCTTTCTTTCTTTCTTTCTTTCTTTCTTTCTCTCTCTCTCTCTTTCTCTCTCTCACTCTTTTCTTTTCTTTTTTTTTTTCTCTTCTTTTCTTTTCTTTTTTCTTTCTCTTTCTTATCTCAGTGGTGTTACCAGTGGTGGTACAGCGTAGCATTTATGGGAGTGCGTTCTGTACTCAGACTGCCTGGAAATAGATCCCAGCCCCATCACTTACTGGTTGTGGTTGTGTAACCTGAATGATGTCCTGCTTCCTCCAAGAACACTTTCCCAATCTTCTCAGTCAGAGCGAAACTTTTTGCTCCTTTGTGCTCTCAAGTATTTTCTGTTCTTGTTAAAGGACGGAGTTGAGTCATGATGAGCTCTTAATGGATGTTCATGGAATTGACTAACATGCGCATTTTATTGAAATTATGTGCATGCATATTTGTCTCATACTAAATAAAACAGTCTTTGAGGACAAAGATTGTATCATTCATCTTTGTATAGCCTACAGTGTCCCATATGTAGTAAACAATAGTTTTTGGTTTTTTTTTTTAATTCTATCGAGAAACTCGTTTTTTCAAAAAGAATTATCAGGGCACCTGGGTGGTACAGGTGGGTGGGTGTCTGACTCTTAGTTTCAGCTCAGGTCGCAGTCTCAGGGTCATGAGATTGAGCCTGCTTGAGATTCTCTCTCCCTCTGCCCCTCCTGCTAGTGTTCTCTCTCTAAAATAAATAAAACATTAAAAATTAAAGATAAGGGACTCTTGATTTCAGCTCAGGTCAGGATCTCGGGGTTGTGAGATCAGGCCCCGCATTGGGCTCTGTTCAGGGCATGGAGCCTGCTTAAGATTCTCTCTCTCCCTCTCCCTCTGCCCACCTCCCTCTCTTAAGAAATAAAAAATAACAAATAAATAAAAATGAATTCTAGAGAGGGCGTCTGAGTGGCTCAATCAGTTAAGCATCTGCCTTTGGCTCAGGTCATGATCCCGGGGTCCTGGGATTGAGTCCCACATCAGGCTCCCTGCTCAGCAGGGAGTCTGCTTTCCCTTTCCCTCTCTCCCTCCCCCCTGCTCCTGCCCTCTCTCTGTCTCGCTCTCTCTCTCAGATAAAAAAAGAAATCTTAAAAAAAAATGAATTTTAGGGGCGCCTGGGTGGCTCAGTGGGTTAAAGCCTCTGCCTTCGGCGCAGGTCATGATTCCAGAGTCCTGGGATCGGGCCCTGCATCGGGCTCTCTGATCAGCGGGGAGCCTGCTTCCCTTCCTCTCTCTCTCTGCCTGCCTCTCTGCCTGCTTGTGGTCTCTGTCATATAAATAAATAAAATCTTTAAAAAAATGAATTTTAGAGAAAAAAATAACATAAGCCAGGCACTCTATTTAGCTGTCATTTTCAAATATTGCCAAGCATAACAACGTTCAATCCAGCTTCCCACCCCACCCCCAGCCCACTCCAGCGCTAAGGTTATATGATTCTTCAGGATCTGGATCCTCACTTTTCAGTGGGGGAACAAGTGAAATGATTAATCTTTTTGGCTTCCATTGTAAATCCATCTCACCTCACGCAGTCTGCCCACCTAGAGTGTTCACATATGGAATCTTTTTTTAAAGATTTTATTTATTTATGACAGAGAGAGATCAGGAGAGCAGAAACACAAGTACGGGGAAGTGGGAGAGGGAGAAGCAGGCTCCCTGCTGAGCAGGGAGCCCAAGGAGGGGCTCGATCCCAGGATGCTGGGGATCATGACATTATGACCTGAGCCAAAGACAGACGCTTGACTGACTTGGCCATCCAGGTGCCCCTCACATATGGAGTCTTATAAAGAGATGTGATGTATACAGGCAATTCAAAAAAGAACAATAAATACTACAGTTTTCCTTCATACATTCTTTTTTTTTAAATTTTATTTATTTACTTATTTGACAGGGAGAGAGAGACCACAAGTAGGCAGAGAGGCAGACAGAGAGAAGGGGGGGGAAGCAGGCTCCCCGCTGAGCAGAGAGCCCCATGTGGGGCTCGATCCCAGGACCCTGAGATCACGACCTGAGCCGAAGGCAGAGGCTTAACCCACTGAGCCACCCAGGTGCCCCTCCTTCATACATTCTTAATCATAAGGGTAGCTGGATACTGATGCCTGCAAGGTCACTATACTTTTTTTTAAATTTATTTTATTTATTTATTTCACAGAGAGAGATTACAAGTAGGCAGAGAGGCAGGCAGAGAGAGAGATAGAGGAGGAAGCAGGTTCTCCGCCGAGCAGAGAGCCCGATGCAGGACTCGATCCCAGGACCCTGAGATCATGACCTGAGCCCAAGGTAGAGGCTCAACCCACTGAGCCACCCAGGCGCCCTAGGTCACTGTACTTTTAACAATCATCAGCCACAACTCCCTTGACAATTCCATAT